ATTTAAAAAATTAATTCCTTTCCGATTCAGCAAAATAAAAATCCGGTATAGATAACAAACTGAAAACAGTAACTTAAGTCATATAAAGTTTTTAACCTGAAGCAGAATTATTCCCTCATTTACAAATAATTTTATCAACAAACTATATCGATGAAGTCGAATTTATATTAAAATATTGGTACTTTTTTCTGGGACACCCTGTATGGTATATCTATGTGATCGTCTATTATTCTTTTATTCTTGAGTATTTTAATAAAAAATAATCCTAAATATGCATAAAAAGTTTTAAAACTGAAATAATTAATAAAAATAAATCAAAATAAATAAAAAATCAAAGTTTAAACACTCTGTATCTCGGAAACGAAGCATATTTCGACCTACGTTTATATAAACTCTTTTTCACAAAATAACTTCGGCGACCACCCCCTACAATATTACGTATTTATTTACAAACACCCTGTAGGTACATTGATATCATACTTTTGTTTAATAGACTCGGCTGCGCCTCGTCTACTAAGTATCAGCCGCGACATTAAATCTCTACTCTAGATTACAATCCCATCGAAAAGGGTTCATTTGACCCAGCATGAATTACTACTTGTACTACCACATATAACAATAACTTTAGAAACTATGCCGTCAATTCTTGTTGGTACAGGTGAGTACAGAGGTAAGCTAAACCTGTCCACCAAGGGTGGTGGTTTTCGGTAAAACATTTTTGTACAGCATTTCTAAAGTATATAGGTTATACAAACAAAATTAACCTCGACCTAATGCCGTTCAAAAATAGCCCGGGTTTTGGTGATTTATTACAATACGGCATTTATACTGCAAGTTTCGGATCGATACATAGATAAATTTTTAAGCGACGCCGTACATACTTGCTGATACAGGGGTTAGGAATACAGGGTGCAACCCTCTATTTGTAAGTAGCGTATGGAGAGTGATTTGAACCAACATCAAATTCACTAATTTTAATTCTATTTTATAAAATAATTACATTTTTGGCCATGCCGTACATTTTTCATGAAATGTGCTTACTATAGGAAAATTAATTTCCCTCTGAAAAGTAGGATATCACGGTGAAAAATTTTTGTACAGCATTAATATATTTTGTTAATACTGACTACAATAATCAACAAAAACAAAATGCCGTACAAAAAAATTTTTCTAAATGGCTTGAAATATATTTTTGCAAATATATTTTTGCAATATTTATAAAATTATTAATTTTATAAATTTGAAAAGCTTATAGGTATATTAATTTTTTTTTTCACAAGTAAAATTTTTTCAAAATCCAAAAAATTATTAAACAATCAATAAAAAAATCTGTATTCGAATATTTTAAAAAAAATTTGGAATTATTTTTATTTTAAAATTAAAATTACCGCTTCGAGATTCTAGCTGGCCATCGAAACATCTTCTTTCTCTCTCTTTTTTTCTTTTCGACGTGTAAATTTTGTTTTGGTTTTATTCATGTTTATAACTGACAATCTTAAAGTTGCTTTTTTAACAAATGCACTTTTAAATTATTTTTACTAATTTTAAACATATATTGTATGCCAATGGCTTCATCACAATTTTTACATAAATACATTGTTCAAAGAATTGTAACAGAAGTTGCAAATATGCAAATGCGAGGGTTCTGTTACTTCAAAACATATATTATATTACTATTTTAATTGTAAGTATAGGAATTCTCATGAATATTGAGTTAAAATTAATTGTTTATTATTATATTTATTAAAAAATAATACTTTCTTGCACGTTATTAAATTTGTAAATTTCTCAAAATATTTTCTCGGTTCTCTATACACATTTTTTTTTTTTAACAAACACAACATAATTTCTAAGGTATAAATTAAATTTCTCTTGAAATTGGGAGAAAACTTTTGGACTTATACAGTTTCGGAGAATTGTTCCAACAAATATATACGGCATTGCAATTTTCATTCTTTGTTATATTTCTGATGAAAATTTGTAAATGCCGTATAGTTATTAATGATCTAAAAAAGTAGTAAAAATTTAATGAAAAATATAATCAGCTACGTAAAATCCACTAGTTAAAAATGTACGGCAGTTTTTTTTATTTTGTTATTTATGAAAAGTCAATTACAGCCATAATATTTTGAATATAACATTTTTAGTTTATAACGAGGAATTTTCAAAATATTGTAAATTTTCACAATATATTTATTTGTTTTTTATTTCGAATTTTTAATTTGTACCATTAATTATAACCGGCCATGATTTAGTACGATACTCTTTGGTTATATTTTATCAAAAAAGTGGTTGCCGTACAGGAATTAACAATCTTATCGAAAAAAAATTAAACTCAATTCCAAAATACAAGTAATTGTTTATATACTTTTGCATTAACCATAATTTTCAGACGGCATAGTTGTTAAAAATTATTTGGAGATTTAAATAATCATGTGGAATCTATGCTGTACATTTTTCAATGACTTGAAACAATGGGGGCTAAAATAGAGGGTTATTGCATCCTGCATTTCTAACCCCTGTATCAGCAGATACCGGGGTTAGAAACCAAAAACCGGCCCAAAATTTTCAGAAAATCAAAAATTTTCCTGGCTTCCGGTATTGCTATTTTTGTACGGCATTAGGTCGAGGTTCATTTTTTTTGTATAACCTATATACTTTAGAAATGTCATACAAAAATGTTTTGCCAAAAACCACTTGGTGGACAGGCTTATGCCCGTTTGCACCGTAGTGTTTAATCCAGGATTAAGTATGAAGTTGGATTAAAATATAACATTTTGTTTGCACTGTTTCAAATCTGTATTAATCTAGGATTAATTTAAACCCTCAAATTTGACCGCTTAAACTTAAAAATTAAATGAATTATTGAAACAGCAATTGGATAGATATTGTGCTAATAAACCAGGGTTTTAGAAAATGTCCAATTAAACAATTTCTAATGAATATGATATGTATTTAGGTACAAAGGTAATTATAAACAAAATATTTTGGTAAACGAAGAATACTGTCCATTGTTATTTTAGGTGCCAATGATTTTTGCCATATCTGTCGATGAATGATGATGAATTACTTCAAATAAAAATTAGATATGTTGAAAATATGGGAAATAGATTGCTAATCACTCTGCCAACTTCAAAAAAGATGAAAAACGATCCTTTATTGTAAGTCAATAATAATTAAACATTTATCGGAAATATAGTACCGCAAGACCTACACACATAAACAGTAACAGATTTTTTTTAAATATTCAAATGGTAAGGAATTCAATTAATAGGAATTCATGCATTTGGGAAAATGCCAAAATAAGTTGCAGCGTTTCTGAAATTGGAGGATGCTCAAAAATATACCGGACATTGTTGCCGTAGAATTTGAGCTAAGCTATTAATAAATTCAGGAGCTGATGTCACAACTTTAAAAATGCATGGTGGATGGAAATCTTCGACGGTTTGCTAATCAGTTAGCAAAAAAGTTTCTCTGCTGCAAGTACACTCGACGCAAGATAAAGGGTTCCTACCTAAAAGGCATACTATTTTTAAAGGGGCGAGCCGGTGGACTATTAATAGGAATTTTGGGAGGCATCAATAATTAGGGGCGTGTCATATTTTTTTTGTGTAGGCACGTGTGTAACGACACAACTTAAAAATTGCAGGCCTTTAGTATATGCATTATAAAAAGAGAAGAGTATCCAGGTTTTGAAAATATTTTGTCATTATTTTTCTTGTCCCTGAGAAAATTAATATTTTGAAATAAGAATTTGTATCATATTCTGCAGAAAGTANGCACAGTTGATATTAAACCATACATTGAAACTGTCGAAACTACAGAAATAAAAGAAGATAGCGAAGAATTTGAAGGAGACAGTGATTCATCGGACACATCAGTTATTTAAATTATAGTAATTATTATTTTTTTTATCAATTTTGAATTTTTTTCGTCGTTAATAAAAAAAAATTATCTATAAGTCACTGGCTTACCTTCTATAGTGTGTTTATTTGATATTTATTTGTAAAATAAAAAACAGAAATCCAGGTTAATAATTAATCTTTAATTTGTGAATAATTTTCTTGCTTAATAGTGTCAAAAAGCAGTTTAAAAATAATACCGACTTTGGAGGGACTTTGCTAGCGTTAGAAAAATGATAGAAAATTTTTGACGCCAGATTTGAAATTGCCGTGCCAAAATGTCCAAAATCGTGTGCATTGGAATAATTTTTAAGAGAATTAGGACCGATATAATTAGAAAAATCCATAAAATTTTTGGGTTGCATAGACTTTGCCTTGTCATTCGAAGGTCATATAGAAAAAAAATCGTCTCAGTCATATTTTTCCCATATTCTACATCCATTCAGCTTCCATTTGCAACCAGGCTCATATTTTTATCTACCTACTCTCTGAGTCAAGATATTTGATTTTTGTACAAACAAAAAAAAATGATACATAGTGCGGCGTCACTAAAAAAGTTATCTACGTATCAATCTGAAACTTGCAGTATAAATGTCGTACTGTAGTAAATCACCAAAACCCGGGCCAAAATTTTCGGAAAATAAAAAATTTTCCTGGCTTCCGGTATTGCTATTTTTGTACAGCATTAGGTCGAGGTTCATTTTTTTATAACCTATATACTTTAGAAATGCCGTAAATATTTTGCCGAAAACCACCCCCCTTGGTGGACAGGTTTAGCTTACCTGTGTACTCACCTGTACCAACAAGAATTTACGGCATAGTTCTAAAGTTATTGTTATATATGGCAGTATTGATTTCTAAGTAATTCATGCTGGGTCAAATGACCCCTTGAAAATTTCCGATGGGCTTGTAGTCTACTCGTACTTCACTGCCTAGTTAAACAAATAACTATTACAAAAGTCGCATTAATCATGCGAAAATTCATGTTAACTCCGAAAGGTAAATCAAAAATGATTCATCATGTTATATTTCCAATGAAAAATCACCTGAAATCTCCTTTGTTTCAGATGTTGTTCATAATGCGACTACTATCTTCCTTGAATTGGTGTTCTTATAAACATTTAACAATTTCAAGTGACCATTACCAGACTGTGTGTACGTTGAATACAGAGTGTTAAGTGCGGACGCGCCCTATCCGAACCGGCACAAGAGCCCCCCGACGAGAACCCCAGCCCACTCGACTCATCTGGAAAACGTCATCCGGAAGCGGCTACGTCAGGAGGAGGGGACCGACTGGTCGCGAGTTATATTTACCGTTGCACGAGCAGATTTTTCCAACCAGTTCAAGTTTAGTCGAATTTGTTTAGAGCTAGGCTCGGAGAGTCTTTTTCTGTTTTTTTCGTTTTCGCCACCGTTGTATGGGTAAGTGCGCAATTTCACTTGTTATAAGTAGGCTTAGCTAAGAAGTGCAGAAGTTCCTTTGTTTGGCAAATAGGCCAACTGCGTGATGTTTCGCACGACGCGGTGATGTTTTTGTTTGAATTTAAATTGTTAAACGTGTTTCCAAGCAAAATATTAGCTTTATGTTTAACAGAAGTAACGACAGCCTGTTTATTTTTTAGGTTGACTTTTTAATTCAATTGTTTGATATCAGGCTTAAGTTTGGGAATCAAATTTATTAGTAAATTGATTGGTATTGTGTGAAGATTAACTTTACTAAAGATAAAACGTGACGTAAAATTCAAAGCATTAAATTTGAAGTGTCTTGTATTGTATTTAAAATTGCATTTAATAGACAGCTGGCACTTTTATCAGTAATTGTTATTAAGGGAATTTTTTGGATCGTATTTTATCAATATTTTATCAAGATTTTCCAAATATTTCATCGATACTCATCGATGTACTTGAAATTGACGTAAAATTCAATAACTTTGATGAAGTGTCCCATTGTATTTAAAACAGCAGTCATTATTAAGTGAAGTTTTTTCATCGTATTGTGTGAATATTTTTAAATATTTTCCAAATATTAAATATATTTAAGACACTTTCTTTGTGTTCGTTACAGTTACTGGTCTAAACCAGAAAAATCTTCATCAAGCATGCAAAATCTAATGTTTGTTATTGTTTTGACGTGCCAAAGAACATATTTGTTTAGGTTTTCAACTGAATTTTTAAAGTTTCTGATTAAATTTGTGTAATTTTCATATGCTGAAACAAACAGAACAGTTTTACAAGATTAACCTTAATTACTATGGCTTCTAAATATTTGAAGAGTATTTCGTGTAACGTGTTAAGCAGAAAAAAAATAAAGATCATTAAGTCTATTTTGGTTCAAAAATTAGAAAAATAATGGAAACACGATTTTTTAACAGATGGAAAAGCAGGCATCCTTAACTCGACTTTTATATATTCGTAACTGATGATAAAGATAACTAGCATGTTTATCTTATTGACGTTTTGTAATAAACCCATTCTGGTGACGCTATTACATAAAATGAGATTGATCTGACAAAGTTGTGCATCATGCTTTATACTTAACTGCAAATTGGTCTACATCTAGATTATCAAATTATCTATTTCTGTTCAATATAACTAAAATATAACGTGTAAACTATAACAATATTCAATTTTGTATTTGCATCATGTACTATTTTTAATACACCAATGAAAATTTAAGTTTACGGATACATCCACTCACGGGAAATAATATTTCCCCACCTTGCACCACGTCACTGTCCTAGAAATTTAACCGATTGCCTTGGGAGATTCCGTCATGTGATTTCTCAGAAATGATTCATATTTTGTAAATATATTTTCTTGCTAGAAACGATCAGTTTTTAGTTACTATCTATTATAATAGATAGTTGATAATATATATAATAGATAGATAATAGACAGAATAATTATTCTATATATCTCATCTAAAATATTCTTAATATGTTAACATTATTTTTATAACTTGTTATATTTCATTAAAAATATCATGCAAGAAAACTTATTAGTCAGCTTTCTAAAATTATGACTACAACTGATTCCTGTTTTTAGTTTCCGTTAACAGTATGAATTGCTGGATATTACTCGAGATTCTTTTCCGTCCACTAGACCGACAATCGTCCCTATTACACTTCAGAGAAAATACTAAAGAATTAAACATAGCAAATGCTTTTCTAATTTTTTAAACGAATTTCCTGGCAAACCGCGATTTACACTCCGTTTTCTGACTGATTTATTTTTTATTGCTCGACCTTCTAATTATTTCCAGATATTCCAGATTGCTGGAACCCCTCTACTTCATTGAAATTAATTGTGATATGACTCATAAATGGCTAAAAAAAAACACACAGGTTTCGTATTGCGCAATATTAGGTATATTATATCATTTCACTTGACGTGACTGATGAAGGAGTACTTGCAATGAACTTATTAAATAATAGTGACAGTGACTCAACTTCCAGGAAAATTTATATTTATACCTACTTGAACCAATTTAACCTTAGATAAAGGACCACTGAACTTTGTTATATAATTTACACTGGCTAAGTATGTCGTAATGTTTTTGCATATACTTGCAAATAAATAACAAGTTTTTAAAATGGGATAGGTATTTAAAAATATGTACTAAAACAATATATTCGATTGCCTATGACTTGTACAGGCCATAGTCTGAAGAAAGGACGAATTATGTTTGTTTTGCAACGTCATAAATTTGAAATATTTTATAAAAAATATCAAAATAGGTATAAGTAAATGATGTTGTCAAGGTTATTCAACACTGTCTAGAATGAACAAAGAATTTTGCTACGTTCAATGTGCAATTCATTATCGTTTTTTCTCGTGAGGTAATTTAACAATAGCGAATGCGGCAATTTCCTGAGATAAAAACTGTCATTAAAATTCCGTTTATAAGAACGTGATATTAAATAATTGTAGTTCCGTAATTTGTTGAGAAACATAAAATACTAACCCTGACCTTGTTTGCACAAAGCAGGCCTTGACTGTATGACAGTTGCATATTGTTGTTTGTTTCAAAAACAAAGATATCTAAGGTAAAATGCACATAATATATTTGGAAAAATTTTTGTGTCGTCATAAATATTCCGGTTCATGTCTGTGAGTTGGCATCATATACATAAACATTTTAAAAAATGTACCTATGCATATGTAGGTAATAATTACGTCAAAGCAACAGAACAAAATAAAATTAGCTGCCAAAGAAACAGAAATAATTAATAAAATACTTGGGTAGTCATTTGTTGAACTGCTGTGGAAAATTTTCGGTGTAAAAATAATCTTTGGACGTTTGCTGTGTCAGCAGTGTCAGCAACTCGATTTGGACAGAAACTTTGGATATTTTTGGACTATCTAATTCGGCGTACAATTAACGGAAAAGGACATTTAAAAGTACCTACCTAATACAATAAAGAACTTGATCAAGGGTCTATAAAGGAAGAAAATTCCTCTGTGGCCAGCTTTGTACAAAATTATCGATGCAATTAGATTTAAAAATAAAACAATTGTTTTTTTTATCATTCTTTGAACTATTGTTATTTGTATTAGATACCTACATATTTCATAATTAGATAGTACCGTGACATGTAAAAATTACTAATTGTCTCTCGGTTATAAAAATGTATGAAAATGTGAATTTATAGTAAATATTTTTTTTCTTACAGAGCGTGATATACAACCGTTACAAAAGTTATTGTGTACAGCTGAACAAAATGCAGCTGTACACTCGTCCAGCAGAACTGCACCATGCACTGGACCTGTCTTGCCCATCGGAGAAACGAGTTCCGACAGGTAAGAACTCAAAAAAAATTTATAGGAATAGATAAGTACCGGGGTTGTTGATTATAAACGCCCCCACCTTAACATTTTTATTTATAAGTTCAGAAAAAAATAGTAAAAACGAAAGTCGTAGCTTAAGTTGAATCAAATTAATTTTAAAAATTTTCCAAAAAATCTTAACAAATGAAATCGTAATGCAAAATACATCAAATTTTATAAACAAACTAAAAATTATAAATGATCTATCTAAGCAGTTGATTTTAAAATTTTTATACAAGGTGACTTAAAGAATAGAAATAAAATTAAAATTTTTCTACAAAATTTTTGGAATATCAAATCTTAATTTTAATAATCATTATTTACACTTTTTAACTTTCTATTATTAACTCTCCCAATCAACTAGCACCGATCAATAAAGTGTAGAATCGCTATAATTATATCTTTTTCCTAAACATAAATTGTATTGCATAAATATTTTTTTGAATTAGTTAATTAAGCAATGTAAAAATCTATTAAAAAAGTAATTTAATTGCAGGCCATAAAATTTACTTAAAACTTAGATTATTTTGTAACGTGTTATATGGAACGAAATAACAACTTTGAATGAGAAAATAATAAGTACGACTTTTTAATAAATCGAATAATAAATTTACTGGGAGAACAGGTTGTTGTAAAACAAATTTTTTATAAATTTTTTTTATTTTATCTGAAGATGGGAAAAATAATCCCAAAACAATCGTAATAAAATTTTTTTTATAAAAAATTAGTTTTACAACAAATTATTTAATTGTGACCTGTTCTCCCAGGAAATTAATTATTATTCAAGAAGTAAGGTCAAGAAGAAAAATTTTTTTTTTAAAACTACTAAATATACAGGGTGGTCCATTTTAATCTATGCACCCAAATTTCTCCGTACCTAAGTGAGATACGGAAAAATGGTCTGGACAAAAGTTGATCAGGACAATGGGGGTCACCTATCTGTGCAACTAACTTTGACCGAGATTCATTTTTGAGGACATTTGTAGGTCAGTTTTTGTTTTAAATAGAAACCTGTATAGGAAATATCAAACTCAAATGTGACAACGACCTTAACAATGTTGACCCTGAGGTCACTTCAAGGTCATTTGAATGTCGGAGTGTTTTTTTAATGGAAAACTTTGTTATTGACATGAGGCTGACCCTTTTCACTACTACTACTTGTTATTGACACTGGATTAAAAAACGTTAAGAATTTAACATTAGAATTGATTTTTTAATTGTTGTTGCTGCTCTGACATTGAGATGGTCAAATGTTTGAAATTTGCTGGCTAGCTGTTTGTTTAATTTTTTGGGAATCAAACTTAAATTTGGCAACGACATTGACCTTAGGGTCAATTTGAAGGTCCTGTTTTTTTACACTGAACTGACCTTCTCGAGGTCCCCCATTGTCCTGAAGAACTTTTGTCTGAACCATTTTTTCGTATCTCGCTTAGGTATGGAGAAATTTGGGTGCATAGATTAAAATAGCACACCTTGTATATAAACATTAACCATCGTCACCCAAAGGTGTAAGGTAAAGTGAAAAAAAGCCTCCCATCACACATATAACGATTGCCCTAAAAGGGTTATAAAGACCCACGTGCCCATAAATTTCAATATGATTTGACATAATTCATTTATAAAAAAGTAAATTTAATGGCCTGCACCTTGAAAACAAAAGGCCTAGTTTATAGCAAAATATTTATTTTTAATATTTTACCCCTAGAATTTATGTTATATTATTCTTAAAACATTCATATAACTGAAAGCACATCAAAGATAATCTGATATATTTTTCAATTTTATAAATCCATAAGCTGACTCGTAATTTATTTACTTATTTATTTATTTATTTATTTATTTTTAGATCCTTGGAACCAACCGTGGGCCGTTGGGGCAGCGAATGGCCAAGTTGACTCGAACAAGGCGATGCCTGGCCTACAAATCGAGCCCTCCTAGGGCTACCGGCCCCCACCCATGGGGTTCCCGGGGACGTGAACAACCGCGCGGGTAGCGCCCTCTTGGCCGACCTCATCGAGGCCCGGCAGGCGAATGGGCCTTGGCCCATCGAGCACCCGCTGCCGCTGCCACGCTGGGCCGCCCGACCCATGACGCCGTTGAGGCTGAGGTCAATCAGGGAGTACGAGAAGCTGGCCAGCGATATCGAGATGCAGCTGCAGAGGGTGCTGGAGGAGCACAACTACGACACTGTGGGCAACTTCCTGGAGTTCTACGAGGAGTTCAAGAAGAGCGGCAGGAGCAGCGTGCTTGAGTTCTTCCACGTGTAAGTTTGCAAGTCAAAATTTCGAACAATTCTTTTATTTTAGCAATAAACATATCATGTAATAGTTATAGACCATGTACCATTGAAAAAACACCCTGTATATGTTTTGAATTTCAACATTCAACATCTAAAACCATTTTTAGACTCAGTTAATTTTTTGGCTTGAAACGATTCAAAGAACAATTTTAGTGGAGTCAAGATAGATTTTGACTTCACGAAAATTACTGGAAGAGAGAACTTTTTATTTTTCACTTTATAAAGTTGTCAGAAACAACACATGAAAAGTTACCAACTGTAGAGTGCACGCTAAATTATTTATTTAACAAATTAGTTGCAAAATATATAAAAATATATAATTTTTTAAAAATAATTAACTGCACCATTCGAAAAAACAGGAATTTTTACATAAAAAATGTTACTAAGAGTTTTTTTCTAAAATGCGAATTGAATAACATGAAAAATGAGACGGGCGGGCCCCAAGTATAGCTCTCGAAGAGCGTGCTACACTAAATTTGTTATAACTTTTGATCTAATTGATCAAATCGACCTTACAAAAATTTAAATGAAAGAAGAGTCATCCGGCTATCAAAATTTTATGTCTTTATACTTGAGGAAAAAAAATATATAATTTTGTACAATAATAATAAAATAACTGTCATTCTTTTAATTTTTGAAATAAATATTTGTAACTTTCACAGAATACTCTTCAAATGACGATTGAAACAGTGAGCGATATGGAAAAAATCTTAAAAATTTAATTTGAAAATTATTGAGCGCAATATATTCAATAATTTAAAAAAATCACAAATTTGACTTTAGGCCATACTTTATAGATAAAAAACTATAGTTATAAATATGATATTGAAACTTTATGAGAGCACTTTTTAAAGCTTAAAATCTCTACTTTAAGGTGGTGCATTTTATTTTTATTAAAAAATTTAAATAATAGTTGGAAAAACAAAGAATAACAAAAAATAAAAATATTTCATGAAAAATCCGTGAAATGTATTGTTAAATAAAGTTTAATAATGTACAAAAATTTTTTTGTTTTGTTTAATAAATCATCAAAGAATTAAGTTAAGTCCTTAAAAAAAGTAAATCCAGCGAAAAATATTTTTTTTATTTATAGTAGTAAGTGGAAAATTGTTATAACGACAACAAAAATAACGTTTTTTGATGAATTGATTTATATTCATTTTTAAAACGTATATTCTGTATCTGAAATTGTGAATATAAGTTCTCTTATTGATGTAGACATAGATATGAGTCTAATATATATGACCTGCTAAAAATGATTTTTTGTGGGTGCAAATCTAGCTGTGGCAACAATTACGGCTGCAGGAAATTTGTTTTTTAAAAAATAAAACCCCTTTATAGCCATTTATAATTTTCATTTTTCGAACCTCTACATTACAAATATGAGCGAGTTTGATTTAAAATCGATAATTGTTAAATAAATTGTTTAAAAAATTGTCAGCCATATTGGATCAGCCATTTTGAATTTTCATTTTCCGACATCATATTCTTGTTTAACGACCTCAAAAACCCCTATATTACAAATATAAGCGAATTTGATTTAAAATCAATAATTGTTAAATAAATTGTTTAAAATAGTCGGCCATATTGGATCAGTTATTTTGAATTTTCATTTTCCGACATCATATTCTTGTTTAACGACCTCAAAAACCCCTATATTACAAATATAAGCGAGTTTGATTTAAAATCGATAATTGTTAAATAAATTGTTTAAAATAGTCGGCCATATTGGATCAGCCATTTTGAATTTTCATTTTCCGACATCATATTCTTGTTTAACGACCTCAAAAACCCCTATATTACAAATATAAGCGAATTTGATTTAAAATCGATAATTGTTAAATAAATTGTTTAAAACAGTCGGCCATATTGGATCAGCCATTTTGAATTTTTATTTTCCGACTTCATATTGTTCAGCGACATCGAAAACCCCTATATTGTCAATTTGAAAGAATTCGATTTAAAATTCATTGAATTATTTTAAATGTTCTTAAAAACACTATTTATTACTGTTTAAACAATTAAAAAACAATTACCATACAAAAATAAGTTTATAACTTTTTTTCTATACTTATCTCCAGGTAATTTCAAAAAAGGTTTTAGGAAAATCCATGCTTCCCATAATTATTTCGAAATAATGCATAATTTTAAGCTATCTTCACTCCACTATTTGTGACACGGATTTAGAAAACGCCCTGTTATTTTCAGCTACTCTCCACTAATCACCCCCGAGCACTACACCTGCGTGGGTCTAGCCTTAGAGCTATGGAACCGCTTAAGCACTCAACTGGAACCTAAATACCCAGGCATCGGCAACCACCTCTGTTTAGTCTCCTGTGAGGAAGACATAGACAGCACCCCTTCATACACAGCACTAAGCGACCGCCTAGACACAGCTTCCTACACCTTCGAGAAGGAACACGTTCTCATGTGCTTGAAAGTGGAATTCTCCGGAAGGACCGGGATATTGCTCTGCGACCCTGGGTATCACGTCTCCAGAGTTATAACCGTCATGTCCGACAAAACGTATCCCAATACAGGTAGATACTGAAATTATTCATTTATAGTTTCTATTATCTCTTGTTAATTTTGTGTAATATAACGTTAAAATTAAATCTACAGGTTGGTTTGTCCAGTCCGAAGAGAACGGTATCAGGAAAGAGTACAACTACCAGCTATCGCCCTACAACGACACCTTCGTGGAGTGGAATGAGAGAACTACAAGGAACGGTGCCCAAGAGAACTTCACGGGTCTGATTTATGTAGGAAAGCCCTATCTAACGGCAGTCGACGTTACAGAGAGGAGAAACCTGGTGTACACCTTCAGAAGTTTGTTATCCAGGGATCAAAAGGGGCACCTAATCGCCGGAGTGTACTTCAAAGTGTTAAATAATAAGGATGAGTTCACCATCTTCTATCAATGCATGGGAAAGCAGCGTATCAAGATGAGTTTTTCGGCATTTATGCAACCAAAGGTTAGTATGGAAACTGTTTTAATTATGACTCGTGTATTGAGAATTTCCTATAGAAAAAAATATCTAATATCTGCATTTCTTTTCAGGTCAGTGAAGATCTATTGAAGAAAATAAATATTTGTAACGATCAACTGAACCTACCCAAGAACCGGTTGTTGGAGATTATAAGAAAGTCCGGACAAATCTTGACGGATACCGTATATTTGCAGCAAACATCTGAGATCGAGCGTTGCATCAACATCATGTCTGCCAATAACTAATATGAAGGGCATACATTGCATTCATTTTATTTTAAACTTTTATTTTTTATGACTTAATATTATATTACTATACTATAGTGCTATTTTTGTTATTAAACTGATGTGTACTTTCTTTCTAGATTTCTTATTAATGTGTTAAGTATAAACAATTTCAGTATTGCCAAAAATAAAATAAAACATTTTGTAGAGACACATTTGGAAAAATTAACAGTAGGTACTGTTGTTTCAATATTTCCGCAATCGTTTAGAATTATTTTTTGTTTACGCAAAATTAAAATATGAGAAAAAACAAAGTGAAAGTAACACATTTATGCTGTGCTTCTAGTGGATATTAATAATCTTTTCGATTTTATATAATAGTTAATAACTGTCCTTATTATTTCAAATTTTACTAATAATCACTTCACATTTCAATATATTCAGTTATCAGTATTCAAATGATGAGCACTTTGAGAATATTTTCATTCTGTATTATTCAAGTCGATAATAAGGGACAAAAGTATATTCGGTGAGAATTATTATTATTCTCGTTTGACGCTATTAGTGATTCATTTGTTTAATTATGATGTTAATAGTATTTATAAGCTTAATTTGTATTTAAAATTTAATATATTTTCAAATTACACCTTATTGTATTAAACAAGATTTAATTAGTGACAATATTAGAAGCTTATTAATTTATCTCGCTATTTTCCTCCACTTAATTATACTTTTTAATACTTCCTTATAAGTAGTCTACAGATTCATTTTGGCTATTTAAGCAAAGTAACTTGTTGATTATTAATTTTATTCTAACATAAAGCATAATTAAAGAAAATGTAAATATGTTCACAAACATTATACCTATGTATGTATTTTAATGATTTGTGTAAGCTTTATTTGTCACTATCCTTTGCTACTGCTAGATTTAAAATAGAGAACTATGCTTGATCAGTTTTGTATTTTAATTTTTTCCCACCCACCCTTTTAGAGTGCACTACAGTAATCTGCTACAAATTTAAAATAGATATAGTAGGTTGTAAGGAAGTTATTATTACCTTTGATGGTTGTCTCTGCTTTGAGTAATATCCTCACTTAACGTTATTACTAAAGTAGGATTGCTTGTCAAAAATATAAATACAAACATCGAGTTCCAATTTGGAAACTAAGTATTCTGGACAAATGGTTTTTCAAATATAATAAAAATTATTCGTGGTTACTAATTATTAATTAATTACCTATATATATTTACTATTTCACTTACCAATAACCTTCCTGACTTGGTTTCCCACATATCTTCAGTTAAGTGCACATAATTAACATTAATTTACACTAAAAATTACTGGAAACCAAAATGTTTTAAATCACGTAATGCATAACATAACTCACAATTCACCAATCAACCAAGTTTTTAAATTTTATAGCAATTGTTTTATTGTTGAGTTTGAATTTCAAATTAAAAATCTATATGGCCCTGTAAAAAAAATATAAAAGTGAAATCGTATTTTTCTCATATGCAACCAGTTATTATACTATTGGTTCATCTGATTGGTCAACAGCATAAACAGTGGAGTAATCGGTAGATGGCAGTGTTTTAGAGATCTGTTCGTAATAGTTATTCAGAGCAAGAAGAATACACCGGGTTATGTTATAGAGATACTAATAAACATAATAATAAAATCGGAAAGGCAAAATATCAATACAGTAAAGCGTACAATCGTAAACATTGTTTAAAAATACAATCAACTATTGAAATTTTAAAGTATAAATCGTAGATATGATTTTTAAAAACTTAAATAAAATAGAACTAATTTAATTCAACTTAAGTATTTACGAACACACCTCAATTACAACCAGTTTTACATATTTGATGTTTGTGTACAGAAATTGAATGTTTATTACATGAATATTAAACCATTTCTTTAAAATAATGGTTGAGGAGACGTCCAATACAAGTAACAAAACAAAGGTAATGTTTTTAAAACTCAATATAAAAATATATGGTAGTAATATTTTTAGGTTAAACCAAATAACTACAGACCCAAATCGGTATACTCTTGGAATGTAACAGACGTGCAGAAATGGTTACGAAGACACTGCAGTGATTACTACATGCTTTACGTTGAGAACTTTATCCAGCACGATATCACGGGTCGAACATTAATAAGGATAAACGATAACTCACTGCTCCGATTAGGTATCACAGATGTAGTACATCGTGAGGCAATTTGGAGGGAAATACTGAAACTTCGACTGAAGACCGATATAATGGAAATAAGAGATCTGCAGAGACGTAATACTAATAATATGTTTTATGATTATTCAATCGCTTGAGTGGATGTTGGATTAAGTAAATATATATAGTAATTATAATATTAAATTTGATATATTTTATGGAATGTTTTTATATTGGTGTACTGATTTTAAATAAAGTAGTCATTGTTTTAATATTAAAGTACCTTAGAATAGGTGCAAAATGCAGGAAAATCGGTGTAATTTCGAAACTATTTAAATTTTAAAAATTGTTAAAGTTGTGAATGGTAATGGTATTATTTAAAGTGTTCTTTTCAATGATATTTCAATGTAATCCCACACAAATCTCCGACTCCTGAGCTAATCCTTGCGATTAGAATGAGGTGTAGAGATTTGTAGAAGTTTGACTTTTGTTTTTTCTTTGTTCCTTTTTCATTTAATTCCATTTCAGTAATTTTAATGTTTTGTACCGATACGATAATCATAATTTCTTGAAATTTGGAATTCTTCGCTATTAAAGGATGTGGAATAATGCTAATTTGTTAGATTTTTGATAAAAAGAAGCTATGATTTCTTCAAAAATGATTCGTAAAAGACGTTATAGTATGCCATTGTTTTATATCTGGTCGTAATACATACATAATACATTTCTAAGTACACCTGCATATGCAAAAAATTACATTAAAATCACACAGTTCCTTCAATTTTTACAAGAGTGTTCTGAATTGGGTGTTATACAGGGTGATACACAATTTTATTCTCTTTCAAACGGTATCAGGGTTCCCTATATCTATCTCTTTTACTTTTGAAGCTATCTACTATTTTTTGTGTAATCACCTAAAATCATGTAATTTCTTGGGAGGATAGCTGTGGAATTTCTAGCAAAACTTCAAAACAAACAACTAAACTGTCACTAGTAATTTATTATTATTTATTCACAGACGTTGCAAAGGGATTCTAAGCATCGATTACATGATTTTAGGTGATTACACAAAAAATAGTAAATAACAAAAACTAGAAGAGATAGGTATACCATTCGAAAGATAATAAAATTGTGTATCAGAATATAGAAAACACACAGGGTGTTCCATATAAAAAAACGACTTATGAAGGTTTGAAGTTAACTAAACTCGGCATTAAATTTCTAGCACCCTGTATGCAATTAAGACACTTTGAAAGCACGAATGGAAAGCTTAGGAGTCTAGCTATCCCCCCTATAAATATTGTTGCCTTATCTTTCTTACTGTAAAATACACATGGTTTGAAGCTAGTCAGTATCTCCATTTTTTTGAAAAAAATTAAATATCGAAAACGGTTAATTTTAGGAATTGGGAAACTTCATAAAAGTCCACCTAAAATAACGGGAAGTGGTACATGGACGACATTATTTTAGTTGAGAAGGGCATGCCCGGAAACCCGGTATCCCAAATTTTCAAAATTCAAATCGAAGTAGTCTCTGAAATAATTCTAATGGGCCGCCACCGTGAGGCACCCTGTATGTATGTACAATGAGCAGGTAAAGGTTGGAATAAGTAGGCATTTTTTCTTGGAGAAACACTTAGACCTGTCAATTTTTAATTTTAGTTACCGATTTTTAAATTAAATTGATAACATACACAGGGTGGTCCAAAAATTTCGTATTTAATTTTTTCTTATGGAAAGTTCCATTATACGTCTCATTTTATTTTTTAAGTTTACGTAAATCTTTGTGGGCTATATATCTAAATTGTTTTTGAAAAAAATCAGTTTTGTTGTAAATATATTTGTCTTTGCAATACACTATTAACAAATTTACTAAATTTTATTTAAATAATTAATTCAATATGAAAAATGAGGCAAAAAATCGGTTCTACATTTAAAAAAAATATCGCTATCATTTTAAAGAAATCACTGGCAACCATAGTAAATACATGTAGGAGCTGAGAGAAGTGTCAGCAAGGAAGCTTTTGGACTTTGTAAAAAGGACAAATCTACTTGCTGAATAGGACTAGTAGTGGGACGCACAATAGGCCTAATTAGGCCGCAGTGCTATGGGACTTTTTTTAAAGGACCAACCACTAGATGATGAATGAATGAATGAATACATGTACATTTTTTGATGGTTCTCGATTATGTTAATGTTTAAAAATTTTTGTCTGTAGAAAACGTTCTTTTGGAAAACACTCATAATAGACAATATTGTAAATTTTCAATAAATATGCTTTTTTTGTAAGAAAAACTAACTTACCTTTAAAATAGTTGTTTTTCACTGAGATGGCGTTAAAAAAAATTCACTAGTCACAATAAAAAAAACATCCATTTGGTATAACCGAAGTATTTATTTTTACACTTTGTATAAGAAAGCACCTCCTTAACAATTTTCATACCTAAATTACATAATATAGCACTAATATACATAATTTATATACTTATTAAAAAGATTGCTTTAAATGTCTTAAACAAAAACTTGCGAGTACACACTTTAATAAATTCTCACAATATGTTAAAAAAATAATACAATAGTTACTTGTTAACAGTAAATATTTTATGCATTATAAAAATAAGGCAACAAAATATTAATACGACGTTTTGCTACCACATCAGAAACCCCCTTCAGGCAAAACTTATATTTATTCCCAAAATATGAAAGAATATTTATCAACATTCATGTTGTGACATCTCAGCAACACCTTCTGGTATAATCGATACAAGTTTTTATAAAAATTGGCTTAACGTCGATAACCGCAATAAAAATTTTCCCGTTGGTCTTACTTAAATTGAAAAGAATCAAAACATCTCCCTAACAAAGTCAATCCTGATTCAAACCTGGCACACCTGGCACGACTGGGCGGTTTCCGAGGCGCTAGCGATCTATTAAAATTATTCATAACCCTAACGTCTGCGTTATTATCGGATTTTATCTTATGTATATCTGCAGTTGGAGTGCGCACTGTAATAAAACTTTAAGTCCCGGCATGAAACTGGCTATCTGAGAAAAGTCGGGTCCTGATACCAGCTGAGTGTGCAGGTTTAGCCCCCCCATGTAGTTACCGTCTTGGATGAACTGCACTATCTGGTGGAGCTGCGACAAAGTGTTTGACGATAGCTAAAAGAAAGGCAATCGCTTAAAAATCGTAATTTTCTTTGAAAAGTTTTGATAATATCGAGAGGAAACTGAAAAAAATTATTTTTGGATGGTGACGTGCAGTGTAACTGAAAAATGTCAAAGTTATCCTGCAAAGAGTCAAACAAGAACTGACAACAAGCACAATAAAGCTATCTCGGCCGCCAAGATTGCCTGATTTAAATCCGTGCAATTTTTTCTTTGGGGAGGACTAAGGATTTCAAACATTGTGGATGCTCTTTGTTATGTTAAAGTTATACGAATAGTGTTCGGATATTTATAGATATTAATAAAAAAAATATTTGAAAAGTAAGATTTAAACGAAGCAATTTTTGACTCGCACTGACTTTTGACTTGGAAGTTAAGTTGACTTATACTGAACATTTTTTTCCTCAGGAATCTGTGGTAGCTCTGTATGAGCACTGTTTTGTGGAACATCTTGTAGAATGTTGTACGTGGGAGCGCAAATGGCTCCATCTGTGCCATTCAAATGGCTACAGTAGGAAGCTGTTGCACTAGGTGTTGCGAGTATAATTCAATGTCGGTAGGGGCATATAGCCCTGGGAGTAGTTGTTTCTCGCAACACTAACAATTAAAACATCCTGTAGAATATTTATTGTCAAAGAATAAGTATTACCGTTTCTTTTTAGTTAAGAAACCTAGGATCGATTCCCGATCCCAAAACCTGGACTCGTACTCGCAATAGATAAAAAAACATAAAAAAATTATTTCTCACCTTATGCTCTCTCAGTAGGTCATATAAACTTTCTAATTTTCTTCCAACATCTTCCAACTTCCTTCTTGTTTGCTGTGGAAAAATATTTAATAAACAAATTAAACGAAATATAATCGTGATTTTAAAACAGAAAACACCTCTCCACAATTCAGATAAAATTTAACTTACTGGGTTATTGGCAGCGTAACTACATTGGTTCCTCAACTCGTCGAACACGGTCTTCATATGCATGTGCTCCTCCGGAATGGGGGCCGTCTTAACAGGCTGTGGCGTCTCCGGCCTTACCGTCTCCTGCAATGCGGGCTGCTGTTGCTGCACCAGACCCGGTACGGCGTTTTGATTGAAATTTCCCGGATTGAAACTCTGCTGGCCGTAATTGGAGTTGGCGACGGGCGGAGGCTGGTACATGGAGGGGGGATTCTGGGGGTAGAGAGGGGCGGCGTTGTAGGGTTGGGAAGAGAGCGGGTTGACGTCTCCGTACCCGTTGGTTGGAAGTGGTTGAACGGGGGCAGCCCCGTACAGCGGGTGAGTGATGGGCTCGGATGACGGTGCTTCTGGTTTTGTCTAGAATTTGGAAAACGTGTAAACTAGTGAAGTATTTTTAACCATTGATATTGAGATAAACAACACAACTACTCTGGGGACTATTCCTAGTAAACAGCTAAGGTTATTCATCAGCAGAAAAAAATTAGTAGGCATTGAATAGGAATGACATACTTTGGTGGTTATTTCTGATTTAGATTCAAAATATGTCAGCAAAAAACAAATAAAAAATATAAAATACACACCACACTTCAATCAATCGGATTTTTGACGTCATGAAAATCAACTGTTTTAGTTTTAAAAACTCAGCAATGATGTTTCGTTTTAAATTATTTTTGAGTTTTAATTTGTGTTGTAAGGACGGTTCAAATTTGTCTCTTTCTATCTGCTTCCATAGTTAGAGACATTAATATGATGTATCAAACAAGTGATTATTGTCGTGAAGAATTGTCTACATTCTCAGGGTGATATATTTCTGGTTAGTTAAATTTATAAAGTCAACCCTTTTGGCATAAGGGAATATTTATTATTATTTTTTTCTTTTAATGTGGCAGACATATCTAATAAAAAAAAAGAATATCTCAAAATCCCAGAAATAAATAATTACAAAGAATGTAACAAACAGTATGGTGGTGAAACTTCCAGGCCTTTACACAATTAGAATTCGTGAACAAAATTATTAAAAATAAGTGAGAATTAAAAAAATGCGAAATTTCTGAACACAAGCAGTGATAGATTATGTTGATTTTTAATTTCTCTGTGAAATATGATAAATAAATTATAAACTTGTGGCACAAGGGCTCGTTTACTATTTTACTCCTAATTTTAACTTGCGGTGTAGCAAACCTCCCCCAGAAATAAGGAGAAAAGCTGTTTTAAGTAGAGATATGCCGCGGACATGACAGCTGGACATGTCCATCAGACATGTCGAGAAAAGTGGACATGTCCTATTTCAAGATTGAAAAGTTGTATGCGCATGCGCGAAATTATTTGTTGCATTCATAATTCTCGCAAAAAATTTTTGACGTTAGTACAGTAAAATTAAAGATATTTAGCCATTTTCTCGTAATTTTGTTGGGAATTGTTTAACTGAAACCGACATTTTAAAAATATAACCTCTTTTAAATGTTCATATTTTATTATACTTTGCCAAACAAAGTTAACGATTAGTAAATAGTAATCAGTTGACTCTTAATTTAATAATTAATACACAAATAGTTTATAAATGAAGTATGACGCCAAAATCAACAGTTTGGTTATATTTTTCTGAATTGAGTACAAATCATTATAAAAGTAACTTCTGCTCAAAAACAATTTTTAAGAATTCCAGTAGGACGGAAAAACATTTAAATAAGTGTATTGGCTGTCCGGGGAAAATTAGAAACCAGTTTATAAAAAAGTCTAAAGGTAGGTAATAAGTAAAATATATCGATACATATTCATTAGAATAAAAGTAATATTTTCCTTTCTGTGCCCTCATAGGTGCCTTATTAGATTCAAGGTTAAAAGTACTTTTCCTGACATGTCCGGACATTTCATCGACATGTCCAACGGACATGTCCGTAACGTAACACACTTTTCCGAAAAGTGCCCATCTCTAGTTTTAAGAAATGCCACATAAATACTAGCAGACAACATATTTTACTTTTCTACACTACCAGCTTTCACAAGAAAGCTATGTTGATTGTTTTATTCAAACAAATCTCATTCCGTTAATAAAAATCGGAAAAACTAATTTACAACAAACAAAAATATAAACTGTTAATTAAAGAACAATACTTTTCAGGACTTTTATAGAAAATCTTATGACTTAGCAACCACAACCAAACCTCACAACCTCAGAAACCAAAATAAACAAAACTACCTTCTTCCACAACCTGGTACCTGCATGTTGTGCGGACATTATTGTGTTTTCCTTCACCAACTTTTCAAATAAACACTTTAATGGTCAATTCCGTTGGCATTACTTAAATTTTACGCTGAACTTAAATTGCAAAGTAATTTTCATAAGTGGTGTTTTAAACACTACATTGCATGTGAAGAAAATCTACTGGAAACTAGAAAAACGATTTCATTTACATTCCAAATAATGTTTAGAACACAATTAGAACATAAATAATTAAATCCGCTGCATAATTAATAAGAAACGAGAACGATTCTGAATACTGAAATCCGATTTAAGTATTAACGTTTTTGCGACAGTGTTTACATTAGTTTTTCAATGTCAAAAGTGGCTTAAGTTAAAGAAATTCTTTAAAATTTTTTGTCTGTTCATGTGTATTTTTATTATTTATCATTTTCAAACTGCCCTTTTTGATTTTTTTTACAAAATTGTATTTGTAAGAGATCCCTGTACCTACATTCAAAATTTTTTTTGGATAAATTCTGATTATCATCACTGACAAAATGTTGACCTCAGCAGGTATCTGATCTGTATCATTAAAATAGCTTCTGTAATGGGCTCTCTCATATATGTATGTTTAACACTGACAGGTGCAACATACTTAGCTTTATCAAACGGTTAGGTTAGGTTACCATGTGCGTTTAGAAAGGGCCCTATTTTATTACTTTTCCTATCTCTAGTTTCGTCCATTCATTAAATCATTCACAATCTTTCGTTTAAGTTTGACCCTATATTACTGTCAGTTTTTCTTTTACATTTTTGCCAAACAAGTCATCATTATTCATTATCGATCACATGCATCTGAATATTACAAGCATCGTACACGAAAATGATATCGTATAATAAAACTACCCGGTATGGCAGCTGTAAGAGTTGATGTAATTTCTTTAGATGTAAGTAGTAGCCCGTAGGAATGTCTAAAAGGCATTAAACATGAACAAAATGTGAGTTTCGGTTTATGACGCAAACATGAAAGCCCTTTTACTGTCCTGTCTCATTTATGCACCAAAGTGACAAACTTTAGTCAAAAGAGTTTAAAATATACATGTATGTCTATACAGGGTGGTCCACATTTTTTATCAAACTTCAAGAACCAATACATCATCAAAAAATAATGTTATATATATAATATAATATAAGTAAATAAATTTAACTTGAAAATGGTAATAGTTACGAAAAAACTTACAAGGATAATTTTTTGTCCCAAATTACACGGAGAATCTAAAATATATTGTTTTTTAAATTTAAAGCCAGTGGCGTACTAATATTTTTTTTACTAAAGCAATAGGGACCCCTATTTTCTCCGCCACTGGCAAAGTAAAAAAAATTAAAAATTCTTCAAAGATCACATTTACAGTGACAAATCATTTATAAAAATCTTACGGGAGACACTTCATCACTAACAGAAAAATTGTAAAAATAATTTTTTTTTCAGGAAACTTAAATGTGCTATATCTCAAAAAGTAAACATTTGTCGAGTATGGTTTATTTAGCAAACTAACATAATTTTTTGATGATGTATTGGATCTTGAAGTTTGATCAAAAAAAAGTGGACCACCCTGTATATCAGTAAATTGATAAAAAAGGCAGTCTCGAATCGAACGAATGAAACGAACCACGTGATACCTACATTTTTCTATTTTTGAACTGATTAAGTTTATTATTATCATTATTACTATCAACTCATCCCATTTTTTCCCGATTCTATCGAGTTCCACACAGTTTCCCGAAAACGGTTTTGCTCAAAGGCAAGTCTTTTAATTTTTGTTAATTTCTAACTGCAACTTATTTATTATAGTCCGCTATTCGCCGAAATATTGGTCCTTCGAGCCGGATATGAACCAGCGACCTATGGAACATTTTAATAATTTTTAAATTTACTGAAATAAAGTTACTGTTCCAAATAAAATTACTGATTAAGTGGTTTGTCATTTTTGAAGTTCCCGTCCTGGTTCTTGTTTTAATTTTCGTTCTCCTTCCAATTAATTGCGTAGTGGCCTTTACTTTACGATTTAAGCTCGATTTAAAATTCAAGTACTTCCGGCGAAATCGTCAATTAATAGATTAATCACAAAAAGATACAAGCATCTCTACTTACTTGGGGCCTTAACGGCTTGCTACTAGGTGGCGGTGGATCGTTCCATCCGGAGGGAGCATTGGACAACACGTTCGCTGCCGGTTTCGCCCTTTCTGTCTGAGATTGTCCCTCCCAATCAGAATGCGTCGCAAATCCGTACGTCGGCGCCGAAGGAACAAACTGAGTGGGATTAATGTTAGGATTTGGTCCTAGAGGCGAAGCAGTAAATGATGATGAGTTTGGTACGAGGGGAGCTGGGTTCGGCATCATCGGACTGACCGGTGTGGAATTGAGAGGTGCGGTATTGTAGGGAGCATTGGAGTAACCGCTGCTCTGGTAAGACGCAACGGGTTGCGGTTGAAATTGATTTCTCATTGGGCCGTATGGGTTCGAGGTGACCGACGGGTCTAGGACATATTTGCGGGAGGGTAGACCCCCAGAACCACCTGGAATATAATTAATAATGATTCGGTAAGCGTATCATCAAACATCCACGAAATTTTCGTACTGAATTGTTTAAAATACAAGGTTCTCCGAAGCTATAGGCAAAGATTTAATTATGAAAATACATTAACCTAACAAAAGGAAAAAAAACAGAAAACGGTAATCCAGGCATGCCGATATTTTAAAATTAAAGTGCACAGACGTGTTAAATGGGTGAAAATGAAAGCTTTTTATTCTTGTACTTTTTTTGTTTACAATGCATCTTTGATAGACCAAGAAATAAAAGTAAAAAATCATCGAGAAATCGTGAAAATTACTGGGCGTGATTTTATTGTTGGAAAGTCTTGGGAATAATAATACAAGAGGCGTCTCATCTTGTGGGTCATGAAAATAAGTATAGCGTCATTGTTTTTTTCCTCAACAAACGGATAAAAAATTCGTAATTTTTCGTTCTACGCGCTATTGTAAAAAAACTATTAATCTTAGCAAAATATGTTCAACAGACGATTTGATCTCGAGAAACTCATCTTTAAAATGAGACTTTATAAGTTAACTTAAAATTACTTTATAAACAAAACATTTATTGCGAAATTAAACGGAAAAAGTGCTATTTTTTTAATTGTTAATAAATAAAATCTTACCAAACTTTCCCAAAATGCAAGTTTTTATATCCTTAAGAGATGTGCAAAAGATGGGCTAGATCGGTCAAATCGTTTTTGCAAAATTCCATTTATTTATCCCATTTTTTAAAAAAGGCCCATTTTCAAATGACTATTCCGGGGGCAGGGTTATGACTAAAACATTCTTTTTGAGCTCACTTTCATCGAAGGGAGATCAAGTAGTTAAAAAAATATATTTTTTTTCAAATTTAGTTGTAAAAAAATTGTTAACACCGGACCTATTGGTTGTAGAAACTTTTATTTTTTCAATTTGTAGGTTTTTTACGAGCATTCGAATGATGTATATAACTTCTTTGAAAAATTAAAAATCACGGAGTTATTTTATTTGTTTATTAGGGAAAAAGGTGCCTTTTATTTGTTAACAATTATTATTATGTACAACTAAATTTGAAAAAAAAAATATTTTTTTCTAACTAGAGGATACTTGGTCTCCCTTCGAAGAAAATGAGCCCAAAAAGAATGTTTTAGTCATAACCCTGTCCCCGGAATAGTAATTTGAAAATGAGCCTTTTTTGCAAAAATGGGATATATAAATGGAATTTTGCAAAAACTATTTTACCGATCGAGCCCATCGTTTGCACATCTCTTAAGGATATAAACACTCACATTTTGGGAAAGTTTGGTAAGATTTTATTAATTATTTAAAAAGTTATTAACAATTAAAGAAAAAGCACTTTTTCCGTTTAATTTTGCAATAACTTTTTTGTTTATAAAGCAATTTTAACTTATAAAGTTTCATTTTAAAGATGAGTTTCTCTAGATCAAATCGTCTGTTGAACTTTTTTGCTATGATAAAATTTTTTTACAACGAAAAATGACGAACTTTTTACCTATTTGTTGATAAAAAACAAAGACGTTATACTTTTTTCATGACCCACGAGATGAGACGCCTCTTGTATTATCATTCCCAAGACTTCCCAACAATAAAATCACGCCCAGTAATTAGTAAATTTCAAAATGTTTCCTTTCCAGGTCTATGAGGAGTTGTAGGCATTTTAGTAATGCCCAAAATACGTTAAAAATTACTGTTCTCTCCTTAAGAAGGGCATTTTGAGAAAAAGGTGTAGAAATTAAAAAAATAATTTGAACCTAATAACACGTTTGTATACTTTAATTTCAAAATATTAAATATATTAATAAACAATCGAGATTTCCACTGATTTTGAACAATTTTTTTAGATTAGGGAAAGTCATAACTTGATAGAGCATTTCAGATGACTCCATCGTTTTTAGGAGGTCCAAATACAGAGCGGGTATCATACACTATCAAAAAAGAATATGGGAAAAAAAAATTGAGTGCCCGTGTTATCATACAGTTGACAAGGCTGGAACACAATCGTGTTTGTTTCTTTAACTTTTTATTTTTCCTGTTTTATATAAAAAAATATTAGAGTTCAAGATTTCTGTGTAACTTTGGCAACATTGCTGATCTTTAGCATATTATACAAATTACATTACGTGTAAATGCCACAGTGAAGTCACCCAATTTCTATTAAAAAATCATACATGTGTATTTTAAACTCAATTTTTTATCCCTTATTTTTTTTTGCAAAAAAAATAATTAATTTCATACTCTACATAGTAAACTGCACTGCTTGTAACATATACAGGGTGATTAACAACTTATCAAAAAAAATGTGGGAATAGAAGCGTCATGAAAAATGTAGTCAATATCGTAAAAAAATTTTTTGTAAAATCCTTATAGCTTCTGAGAAAAAAATTATTGAAGTTGTAGTATTTTTAACCTTTACATCTCTGGGCTACTGTAGTCTCTAGCGTCATTCACGTTGTACGCTGAGCGCAATGCGCTCTCTATCTACGTTGCCCTAGGTGATTCTGAATACTCAAATCCGTATGTTAGTACAGTGAAAATCGGTTATAACGACTTTCAAGGGACCGTTTCTTTACGGTTGTTGTAGCCGATAGACGTAATAAGCAATTACATATATTTTCTTCTTTATTAAACACTTTTCCCTTCGACATCGCGATAGAAAGCGGTAATTAATTCATATAATATAACTGTATGCGTAGATAAGTCGTAATTTGTCCCAAACGTACTAACTGATGTCAAAAGCGTGGATGTCGGCGGGGCAGGTGGAAGAGTGGTGCATTGGTTTTAAGGCCGTATATCACTGTTGGTCATTATAACCGTCAAATTCTATGGTAAATATATAAAAAAACGAGTCGCTAAATCCGAAATGTCGTTGTAAACGGTGTCGTAGTAAACCATATTTTTAATACGGTATTTCTTTAGGAATATATCGGGACTTCCAAATTCCGTCGTTATATCCAATATGTCGTATAAAGCAATGTCGTTATAACCAATTTTGACTGTATTTACATTTTTGTGATAGTGTTTATATTAGTTTTTCAAGTGTCAAAAATGGTTTAAGTGTATAGCAACTTGGGAGTTGATGATATCGTTCTAATTTATGGTGAAGCAACACATTTGTATTATGGTGAAGCAAGACGTTTGTGTTAGTACGTAGAAACTGAATAAGATGGGAATAAGGTATTATAAAATTTTATTTCTTTCTTTGGAAAAGAAATTCTTTAAATTTTTGTCTGTTCATGACTACATGTTTTACCTTGAACAACCTGGTTTTACAGTGGCGTGCAGAAGTATATTTTTAAATCATTTTCGAACTCCCTTTTTTATTTTTTTTACAAAATTGTATTTATAAGAGTTCCCTGTACATTAAATTTTTTTTTGATTTTTTTTTGGATAAGTTCAGAATCACTCTATATGTATATACATTTAAGATTCACTCTGACAACTTAAAAAAAACGTGCATCAATGTGAAAGAAACAGTCTACCCAAAATTATGAATTTTTGCTTATAGTTTCCAAACACCCCGTATATTTGATGCTACTCACCGTGCGCTGATCCCACACTAGTCGGCCTTGGAGGCTGCGTCGGGGGAGGCGCCTGAGGCGCAGGAGAGAACGTCTTCGGCGGTTGACTAAAAGCGGGCACAGGAGGCAACGATTGCGTTTGCCAGGGTTGAGTGTTTACCGACGGATTCGGCAGGCCCGTATTGAACTGGGTGGCGGGTGGAGCTCCAAAAGGTTGCGTCTGTGGCTGCGGTACTGAGTACTGGGAACCGTGGAAGGGATTAGTATTGTTGACTTCGGGTCCTGGGTAGTTGGTGAAAGATTTCCGTTGGCTTCCCCTCCTCATCTGCTGCTGGCGTATTTCTTGAACGTAAGAAGGTTTCTGGCCGAGAGCCACATGCAGACGGTCCCTTAGGGCGGCGACTTTTTCGTTCTGCGACTTTCCTAGGTAGGTGACGGCGCTGGTGAGGTTGCCTTGAGAGGCTAAAAGGGACGCGTAGTGAGATAGGAGATCCGCTAGAGCTCCTGTTATCTGTAACAAAATTATACAGGGTGGGTATTAAACCATGCTCGAAGCTCTAACGCTTTGCAATAGACAATCTAGTACAGCCAAAATTTAGCGTGGCCTTCTCTAGTGAAAATATGTTTATCATCTTTTAAGAGCCCCCTCAAAAAATCAGCTCAAAAAAAATTTTTTTAGAGGTCGCTCAAGATTTTTAAAAATTCCAAAAATAGTCAAAAATTTAATTTTTCTTCACATTTTTTTTCTCGTTATTTTATCATTTTCTAGGTTGAAAAAAATTTCGATTCTGAAAATTTCAAATCGATATTTTAATTTCTAAAGGTCGGTTATAATTATTTTAATTTTCATAGTAGTATACTTATGTTTTCAAACGATCTCTATAAATATCAACGAACTAATCATTTTTTTTTTTATTGAATTTGATGAACAAAAGAATAGAAATAAATTACGACACTTAAAAAATTTCTCGAGGCAAAATTTACTACCGCACTGTGAGTATCAAATATATAAATTTTTTAATTTTTTAAAATTTAAGTTAAGTAAATTCAATAAAAAAAATTATTAGTTCGTTGATATTTATTTTTAGAGGTCGCTCAAAAACATTTTAGGTACATTACTTTGAAAGTTAAAATAATAATTATGAGTGACCTTTAGAAATTAAGATTTCTCTCAACCTAGAAAATGATAAAATAAGGAGAACAAAAATTTTAAAAGCGCTCTAAAAATTTTTTTTTTGAGTTGATTTTTTGGGGGGCTCTTAAATCATGATAAACTAACATATTTTCACAAGAGACACGAAAAAAATATTTGTTTTTTTGGGCTACCCTAAGCCCCATCAATGTGATAAATAACGTACAAATTGCTTTAATGTGTCAAAAAAAGACTTATCAACAATGCATGGCGTCCAAGAAAAAAAGTTAAATAAAAAAATTAAATTTTCAAGCCAATACTGTCTTGCAAGCGTAAAAGAAATATAGAAGTATTAGGGGCGTATGAGCATACGCCTTTCTGATATTATAGTTTTGCAAAATTGGTTCATACGCCTAAGTAAAATGCGTTAGAATAGAGTGTTGATGTTTATGAATATATACGCCCTTCTGATATATTAAGCGAATTGATTAAATGTGGTCATACAACCTAAAAACCCAAAACCAACTATAGTGGCTCTTACGCCCTTTTGATATGACGCCCTCAATATGTATTAGTGAAAATTAGCAATTATTATACTTGATTATAAGGTACAAGTATTTCAACCCCTCTCTGTTCATTATAATTGAGTTTGACTGCCTTATTTTTTTGTTAATCCACATTTTTTGTAAAATTTGATAAAAAAAATCAAAGGGCTCTCAGAATTGAGCAGCGGGACATAGGCGTACACATCATGTTAAGCGTAATAAAATAAATTAAGTAGACAATAAGCAGTAAATTAGTACAATAAATCCGGGAATTCGCCGATAAATTTATTCGCTGTGTCAGCATATGGCTGCTTTTTACCCTTCCACGTTTGTGACAAACTTTATTATTATTATTTATTGAAAAGCAACAAATTAAATTGTCTACAATACAACACCATAAACACCAACGGATAGGAATTAACTACGTGACATCAGCACAACAACAAAGGCAACAGTATACTAAAGTCACATGAACCTGAAAAGCGTTCTGAAGCAGCGACTCACGCACGTCTCGGTTGACCTGCTTGGCACGCCATTTAATTGCGGCTCTCTCTCTGAGAGCTCTACCAATTATTCACATTACATAATTAATGTACAAAATAATAATATTAGAAGATATCAAAAAACCAATTGTTTACTTACTTGTACTTGCCTCCCTTGCCTCTCAATGGCCTTCTGAAGGAACATGACGAGTTCTACCAGTTCCTGCAGATCCGAGGTTGAATTTGAGGCGTCACTGCTCCAGCTCGAAACCAATTTGTCGAAATTACCGGAACAGATGTAACAAAGCTGCGCCTCCTGCGCAAACTTGGGGTTATCCCGGCTCTCTAATTCTAGCCTAGTGCCGAGTTGTTCTAGGAGTAAAATAACCATAAAATTCGCTGACACATAAAAAAATTTGTACTCTTACCGCAAAGCGCTGGAAGATCGTCGTCGGAAGCGTGAGTCAAAGCAGCCGCGAGAGCCTCTTTCCAGCTGCCGAGTTCGCAGTTGTTAATTATCGAGCCCCAGTCCTCGGACACCATCGCGGAAATTAACGAAGAAATGTACCCCTCGGATTGTTCCAGGTAACGGTGTTGAGTTCTCGCCAACAAGTCGGGGCCGCCTGACAGAAAAATAAATATGAATACGGGGTGCAAAGCATAACGATACCGTTGAGGAAAACAATTGCAGTACCTGTCGTGGCGATAATTAAAGCATCTGCAAACCGTTTTGCTTTCAAGCACAGTTCAACGGCTGCTTCCACATTGTTCAGCAGCAAGGCTTGCGTAATTAACCCCTCGGTGTCTAAAAAACAAAAAAATGTACATATAAAAAAATATATTTAATAGTCGAAAAGGTAGTACCATCTCCCGTTTTAATTTTGAAGGGTTCCACTGCCTTTTCCTGTTGCTTTTGCGCGATATCGTTAAAAGGATCTCCGGAATCGTAATCCTCCAACTAAAACAATACAAATTTTCGTTTTATAACTTTGTTCCCCAGATTTTTAATCAAATAAATCAATAGTACTGAGTTACATTATTAAAGTTATTCGTTATTTATACGCATTTAAACTTTTGTCTACGCCATCACTGGGACGCTCCCAAACTCCGATATATGTGCGTGTGTGCTTATCAGCGTTATCTTTTATTGCTTTTTTAAACCCACTGTGAAACAGATTGTGTTTGTACGATTAGTAGGCAGGGAAAAACAAACGGCTAACATACATTTGGTGAAACGAGAATAAACGAATATGTCACCGTTTCATTTTATCAGTTATTTCAGCATTTAGTGACTGTCCAGAGTGTTTGTGTGTCTTCATTGTTAAATTTGTATGAAATTATTCAAAGTTGCACAATATATACTAAATTTCTATATTTTATACATACCCTATTCAGGTTACCGAAATCATCAGTTAGTCCGTCGACGTTGTTTTGTAACTGCTTGCCAACGAACTGTCCCAGTTTGTTATTAACGTCTTCGATCCTATAACCCAGCAAATTGAGGAGCTCCGCTCGGGGGTTTTGTTCGAAATTTGCCTTCAAGAAGTGCCAGACGTACTTCTTGTGCTGATCGCTGGTTACTTCTGACTTATTGAAGCAGTATTCTGAGAACCAATTATAAATTTTTAGTACCAAACTTTAAAATGAAGATATTTATTTACCGATAAAGTTTCCATACTCCAAAGCCTTTTCTAGTTCCGCAGATTTTTGCACCAGTTCCGATTCGGTGATAACTTGACTGATCTGCACCGTCCTACGAACCTGAATGGCGGGTTGTCCAGGTTGGGAATTTTGCGCTGCCTGGGCAACTGCCGCTTTGTCGTTCTCAAATGTTATGAGTTTTCCACCAAACTAAAAGCAAACTTATGCTTCAGATTCATCATACACCAAACAGAACTAATCCCTTTATATATTATTACAAAATTTAAACAAATATTTTTGAAACGGTGCAAGATTTAAAATTGCTTTTACATTGCCGTTGAGTTCCAACTGAGATTAAAATTAGCTGCACTAGTACAATTGAGATAAAAACTAACAGACGTAGGTATTTCAAATAATTTTGTGGTCTTACCCCAAAACTAGCTCCCACAGGTCTCTTAAGCCATTTTGGAGGCTTGGTTAGGTCTGCGCTGACCGGGGCTGTGCTCGGTTGAGGCACAGGTGCCTGCACGTATCCTTCCATATTTGGAAAACTGTCCGCTATTTTGTTGGTTGTTTGTATTTGTTGAGCTTTACCTGCAGGATACACCAACTGACTATTAAATTAAATTTCAATTAAACGTTAACTAAAATGCAAATTTAATTTTAGTCTGTTTATAAATCAGTCATGACAGACGATACACACTATTCGATTTCGTCTGGAGGTTCAAAAATCGATTTTTTTTTAATTGTATACATTATTAGTATCACTATTCAAGAATACGCTGCCAAAATTTCAAACCGAAATTGCTATTTATTCCAATTTTGAGCCTAAAACCGAACGTCTGTTGGGTTAGCGCTCGGGCACACAGCAGATAGGGCGGAGCACTTATTCAGGTAGTTTAGTCACCTATTAAGAGCAAAGAGCAATTAATGCAAGCTCAGAATGATGCCTATGAGGAAGAAGAAGAACTGTTATATGGTACTGGAATCGCTGATTGATCAGAAAGCACTCTATATTGTTGACAACTTTCTCAAATTTCTAGTTTTTGGAAATTTTCAAATGGATTTTTTCTCGAAACGACATTTTTTTGATTCATGGGATCTCTAGCCTAAAAAGTTTTGAACCGATTGTTATGAAAATTGAAAGTGTGTTTATTCAAAATAAGTGAAAAAAAAAATGGTGAAAATCAATACATTTTTCTCAAGCACATGTCAAAACTTCAATTTTCACAATTTTTACCCACAATGAGGTTCATATTCTTAGAAAACATGTTCAGATCAAAACAACCAACTCGGACGACGTCCTTCGGTAGACAACAGGCCATAACTTCGGCATTTTCAACATAAATAATTTGAAAAAATTTGTAAATGTAGTTCAAAATATTGATAAAATAATGTTAAAGTTTCATCAAATTCTAATCAATTTGACCCACCCAAAAAAATTCATGAGAAACGCCTTAAAGTCTCCTAATGTGCATGATTAAGTGCATGTAGATATACAGGTTCGGAAAGTCCCCATGGTTCATCGGCCGTTACGTGAGAGCGATAAAGTAAGTCATAGAAATCCGTGCGATAGCGAAAGATGGCTATAATGAAAGCATCTAATAGTCACTGCCCATTTCGCCCTTCCACAAATAAGAAGTGGATCTTATTTGTGGAAGGGCGAAGTGGGCGGTGACTATTAGACGCCTTCATTATAGCCATCTTTCTCTACCGCATGGATTTCTGTGACTTTCTTTATCGCTCTCACGTAACGGCTGATGAACCATGGGGACTTTCCGATCCTGTATTTAAAATTTGTATAAATAACAGCGTTTCCAACTATTTTTGCGGTCACTGAGCACTGAGAATATTTCCATTTTCATATCTTTTTTTAGATCAGTTAGAGAGATAGTGTTGTAGAATATCAGAAAATTATTTTTGGACAGCTTTCATGCATCAACAACACAAGAGAATAAATGGGCATAAACACAAAGGACTTACGAATTTATGTTCTACCGTTATAAAATTAAGAAACACAAGATTGCACATTTTTTAAAATTTATGAAAATTTTCATTATTCTCAAAATATTGTCGTGAAAATGCCAAACAGTTTCTGATTTTCTCTTAAGAGCTTCTCGTTTTCCAATATTCATATGAATAAAAGTAAAATTTAATGAAATAGTTATTAAAGTGCAGCATATTGTTCTAGTAAGATAAAATTTGAGAAAACTAAGACAAAGGTTCCCTTTTTGTATTTTCAGTGAACATTTGCACACTACGTTTTTTTTTAAGTAATTTCAAGTGCATGTTGGGGACATTCTCATTTTTACAACACTAATAGGAACATTATTGTGTTAATAGCAAAATGATTGTGTTAATAATAAAATTATTGTAAATATGTGTGCAAAAAGCAAGCCTATCGAATTATATGCTATCACAAAATGTGAAAATATTTGTACTAAACGTAAACGATACTAAATGTATCAATATATCTTCAGTATTTTAGATAATATTATTGAATGTGTTCCAAGACTATGGGGGTTGAAAAGTTAACTGTCTACAATATTTTAAATTGAAGGAAAAATAAAAATAGAACTGTACGTAAGTGCAAGTGTCCAGGTAACACATCTAAAACGTCAACAAATATATGAAATTAAATATAAGCACTCTCGTTACCTTTTTGGGATTTTAATATACAGGGTGATTCACAATTTATCCCATAAACTTGGAGGATCTAGTCACACTATTAAACATATTACTGACATCACCAAAAAAGTTTACATAACATACATACAATATTTACAGATTCCGAGAACAAGAAAAAGTTTAAAGTTATATTTAAAAGGACTACATAGCTGAAGGACTATACTGTTTATTATAATGTATCTTAAGGTTTTTAAGATATAAGGAGAATCGGTAGCACGGCCACCGCGATCTCGTAAAAAATCCTCGACTTGTTTTTATAGACATTTAAAAAATTAAGTGGATCATACTGAAGTAGGAATTATTGATGATTTACGTGAATTTATTACCAATAATTCTGAGTGCAAGACCAGCGAAAAGAAGGAGCATATGTCTTGGTTTACGATTTCGATGTACAAAACTTTCAACAGTCGTTCCATCACATAAATATTAAATTTTTCTTGATTAAAATAATAGTTCACTTTTACTGATTGCATTTAACAAGAGTAGGAATAAATAAGAATAATATAATCAAAATTTAATTCGATAAAGTAAAATACACTTTAAAACGTAATATTCAAAATTATGTATTAATTTCATTATTCTATTGATTTTTTCGGTTACCAGAAAGCAAAACAGATTCAAATTACAACCTTACCTCCCATTAGCGAGTAAACAGTAACATGACCATCAAAATTCGGACAAGCGATCAAAGCCGGGTTTCTGGGGCACCAGGCAATGTCAAAGCTCCATTGGTTGGTTCTTGCAATTTCCGAAAGCACTTCACCATTCTGTTGATTCGAATTTGGGTTCCAACATACAATACGATTGTCTTTCCCACAGGACACTAAAAGATCCGGATCCTCGCCACACCAAGCCAGAGATAGAACACCTCGCTGGTGGTTTTCCAACGTTTTCAGTGGAGACGTTGCAAACCTTAGGTCCCACAATTGGATTATCGGGGAGTGATCCTCTTCTGCAAATAACGTTACCTCAGTGAAAAATGATTTATTTGCACGTTAACATAAATGTACCTGAAGCAAGGCACAGCTGGGTGGCAACTTCGGGGTGCCAAGCCACCATCTTCCACCGAATCCGAGATACGGTGTCAGTCAGTTTGATTATCGGTTCGTTCTTTCGTAAATCCCAAATTACACACTTTGATGGAAAAGTAGATGCTAAAATATGCTGCACTTGTTTGTTCCATGTCACAGACAACACATCTTCCAGTGGTTGGGATTTAGCCCCTTAAAGTTGAAAAAAAAGTAACTAACAATTAATATTAATGAAAAGTACAAACCTGGAGACATCGGCGTACTGGTATTGTTCAAATCCCATATAAATATTTCCGAATCACCGGCACCGGTAGCAAAAAGATTTTGCTGAAAATTGTTGAAATCTAAAGCGTGCACCGGTCCTGTGTGTTTTTCTTGTTTACCGATGATGGCATCTTCTTCATTAAGCAATTTAGAGGCACTATAAATGTGAATCAAACCACCCTCACATCCTCCTATAATAGTACCCTTGGATTGGTCGCCACCGTAGGACCCCCATATGATTTTATGAAATCTGTGTTCACTCGGCAACGAAGAAATGAGTTGCATATCAGGTCCAGGTTCAGTCAGATTTAATGAATAAATTTCTATGGCAGCGCTGGTGTTAAAAGATGCATCTAACTGCTGTGCCGCTGTACCAGCTGCTAGGTATATTGGATGTTGGTTCTTGGGCGACCATGCCACATTGGCAGTTCGTTCTATGTCTTTTATTTTCATTGTTTCGCTTCTCTTAGACTAAGGGCGTGAATTCCTGCCTGCACAGTTGGTCTGTTTAAAATATATATTTTTTAAACTATTTCCAACAAAGATAAAGGCTATAATATACATAGCATATAATAAAAAAAAAGTACATTTACCTTGATTATAATTGATGTAACATTTATAAATATATTTTGCTAGTTTTTTTTTAAAAATCCACTTCCAACGTGGCTCTGAAAATTGAATAAACTTTTGACAGCTCACTGAGGCGCCGACCGAACACGTCAACAAATTTTTAAAAAGTGGCGAAAATATTTACACGTTAGGTAATTATTTTTGATATTTAAGTCTATAAGTTATAACCCATAATTAAACATTAAATTAACTACGAACAATGCTAAAAATAGTTAAAATTATGGCACAAATGTAAATGAAAATTGAAAACAGCAAAACTGCATCATCTTTACTGAAAATCATATGGTCGGCCATCTATTGGTTATCTTCGAAACCAGAAGTACTTGTTGAGACACAAATTAGCTACGTTCAATTCCAATTCAGTGTCACAAAGAGTAATTTAATTTTTGTCGTATATCTTATAAAACTCATATATATGTAACTATTACTATTACAGCACTCTGTACACTGGAGGTGTTCTTTATTTAAATGGTAAATGGAAATATTTTCAAGAATATTAGCACGATATTGGTTGAATGATATATACTCAGTGTAGATTATGATGTTCTACTTTTGGAACGCATTCATTAAACGATTCGATGTCGTAACGTTTGCCACAACCGATTATTGACATTTTGCGATTGCGCTTTGGATCAATCGACAACCGAGAAGACGAGAAGGACCTCTGGATCTGGCAAACGGAGATAAAAAAAACGTTGTGAGGACTTGGTGCACACTTGTTTCTTTGTGATTCTTCAATTTTTAAAGTGTCGGGTTTACAAAACATGTCAGTTTTTGGCTCTTTAATGGGCGACATGGAGGACGATCCGATTTTTGGGTAAGCAAAACTGGTTTCAGTCATCTAAATTCGCGCATACTTACTTTCTAAACAATAAACGAAAACAGACGGCCATGCTGTTTTTCTAGAAATTAATGATTTATATTAAATTTCCAGGTCTCACATGCGACATATGCGTCAAATGAGCAACATGATGAATTCTTTATTTTCTGACCCTTTCGGTATGATGGGAGGCTCTATGTATGGGGATTTCGAGAATAGAGCCCTGACCCACCATCGCCACAACTCACTAATGTCCCCTTTTTCTATGCCGTTGATGCCAAATTTTAATAGACTTTTAAGTGGTTCTCTGGACTCCATGGCTAACGCTGGAAATTACAGTAGCTCGAGCACCGTTATAAGTATGACTTCTGGTCCTGATGGCCGTCCCCAAGTGTACAAAGCCACATCTAGCACTAGAGTGGCACCAGGCGGTATAAAAGAAACCCAAAAGACCGTTACAGATACTGTTACAGGCACTAAGAAAATGTCTATCGGTCATCACATTGGAGATCGAGCTCATATAATCGAAAAAGAGCAGAACATGCACACAGGGGACAGAGAAGAACGAGAGGACTTGATAAACATCGAGGATGATGAGAAAGAGGAATTTAATTACGAATGGGAGTCCAAAACACGTTCTCGCTCGGAGATACCCAGAATTTCAGCTGGATCCGCTAGAAATAGACATTCGTACGGGGGTCACTCTACAGTGCCGGCCATTACAGCAGGTTCAAGGTAGGCTATTTTCGAGATTTTATATGTTTATTCTATTAGAATATAATCTTTAATTATGAGTAATGTTATGGTAACTCTTTCCTATTTGTTTGTATAACGGTTTTGAGGTAATCATCCTATCGTCAGGGTACTATTTTTGTATAAATTTCAAATCAGTGTTGATTGTCGGTTATCAGTGCACAATGTTTTTTTTTAAAGCAACGATCAATTCGGTGAGGCTTTTAGAGTAGTACTTGATATAAACAGATAATTTGCTATTAATTAAATTTATCTGCTTATTCTATTTTTAAAAGTGTAATGTGGTAAGAGTTGAATATGTATCAAATTCATTTACATTAAGTCCCGTTTTATTAACGTATATCTTTACTTCTAACATTTTAAATTATGTTTCTAAAGGAGATCGTCATTTAATATGTAACTTTTACTCACAAAAAATTAATATTCATTATTGTAATATTATGCTTGGGAGGAGGTATTATTTACGAGTAAGAGGGGTATTTAATTTATTTAATGAGAAATTAATGAAATAGTGAAGATGATAAAATAACATGGCTTAACAATAAATCATTAAACAATTTTATATTTGATATAAAGGACTGATTTACAAAAAAAAATGCTGCTTTGTGTGATTATTCATATTCTTATGTTGCCCAATATGTTGTAAATAATTCAAATTGTAATAATTGGTAAATTGCAGAAAATTACTTGATGGAATATTTTTTTTTAAAAATAGATGTTATTCATTTGTGACTAACTTATAATGTACAATTATATTCATTTGCATGTTTTAGTGTTATGAGCTTTATTAGTCGTATAAATTTTTCTAGGAACTAGTACTTCGATCTTCGTTTTTATATTTTATGAGAATATTTTGTGTGTTTTTAAGAGAACAGGATTTAAAACATTGTTACAGGGTACAGGCACAAATCGGATATGCTTTTATTACATCAAATTCTATTGTCAAATAAACATAAAATGACAAAACTTTAAGTTACACTTTAGTTTATGATATAATTTATATTTAGATGTCATTTTTGTAAACATTGTGCACTGAAATTACAAATTACAAAAAATTATTTTCTCGAATTAACTAGTAAAAATATTTGTAATTTAAAATTTTCATTCTTACTCAGAATTCTATGTTAAAACATCAAAGTCCTTAATTCAAAAGTGTTTGTGTAGTGATTGGGAGACAGTTTAAATTATTTTAAGAAACGTTTGTAAAGTAAATACACAGAGTTAAATGTTAAAATATCATATATGCACTACGTGTTGTTTTTCTCCATTAACAGTGAAAAAGATGCGCTGTTTGCTTACGAACTTATTTTTACTTTACATAATATTCACATTTCAGCAGCAGTTTCAAAATATTTAGCACACTATCCAAACTCTTTGCTTTTTTTAGGTCCAGTAAAAATGATTTTATGTGACTGTAAATGATCTATAAAAATTGTTGGAATGAGACTTTCTAATCCTAATATTTATCTTTGTAAATATAGCCGAGTTTACGTTACAAATTTTTTTATACTGTATATATCTTGAAAGCTTCTTAAATTAAACTGCCCAGCAGTATCAAGTAAATGAAAGGGAACGTTATACTTACTGACATTTTAAATATTCTGTCATTTTATTTGATTAATTTATAAAATTTGTTATATTTATTCGTTAGCTTCTGTGTCCGTTAATCAGAGTTTACGTCTGCTATATCGAAAATGTCCGAAAATGTTTTCAGTGGGGAGTAATAACCTCAGTGGGTGTAACACTTGAATTAAAATTTAAACCGCGATATGTAATTGATAGAACTGCCTTCCAAATATGTTCACTCGTATGGTTTTTTTAATATGTACCCATGTTTTATGCATGATGAGTCAAGTTTTTTATTTGTAATTCGTAAATAATTTATTATTCTCGGTAAGGTGATAATTCGCAATTCCTATAAAGAGTATGCCTTTTTATATTGAAGCCCAAAGAGCGGAAATATAAGGAAAAGTTAGTAAACATTCAATTATACTTTTCTGCTACTTTTAAATCGGAGGTTTTTCATTACTCAGGAGAGATGTGGTATATACCTACGATTCTGGAAACTAAGAAACCTGGAAATATTAGATATTTTCTTTAATTTTCATTCAAATTTTTAAAAATTATATTCAGTCTTTATTTATGAGATGTTGTTACTGGATGTCATGAATTTTTTTATTGTAATTTTAGGAAAAAAAAATGGTAATATTTCTATTTGTCTGAATACCAAATAAGCGCTGTTTAAACATACTGGTTGATTAATTTCGGAGAAAGCGGAATTACCTATTTTAATTGAAACTAGTTAACTAACTAAAATTGAAAATAATTCTAGATTTTTGTAGAAAACATGGTAATTATTAGCCAAAGCCTAATCGTTACCATCCGTTTTATTTTAATAGAATTTAAATTGCTGCTTTGAAATAACGCCTGTATTAAAAAAATGTGAGACTGTCAGTTTTTAATTATTCAAATTTTGGTACATTTATTTTTAACTTTGGCTGCTTATTTATACATATTTTTTAGTCTATATTTGTCAATATTGCAAGTTAATATTTTTTCCCAGACAAAAATACCTCGTATTTTTAAAACGGATGTTTTAAATTTTAGCTTATTATATTATCTAGGTATACAGGGTGATTCACAAATGGTGACCAAAATTGAAACCTATTCTTTGGTGAATTTATAAATTTCTTTTTCAAGAATATTTTTAATTTTTTTAAATATGTAATTTAAAAATTGGTAAAATAAAATAATTTGAAATTGGGTACATGTATTTTTGTAAACATTGTCCAAAATCTGAGAGCTTTTCTCCTAATATTTACATGCTTCAGTGGCAGAGCTACAGGGTATCGGTGGCATATTTTTTTAAATAAAATAGTACGCCATTGCTTTACGGTAACAACCATGATATTTTCGGATTAATCTTTCTATTTTCTACAAATTACTACTCTCTTTGTTGTTGTTTTTCAAAAAAAAGCCTAATTTTCGAGTAAATCTTAAAAAACCAACTGAAAACACTTTTACTTAAATCACATGACAAGCACTAATCATTCGATTATTTATTCGAATAAAGAAATTAATTAGGCATCATTTAAATGATTTTATTTGAGTAAATGCTAAAAAATACCTCCATTTCCACGAACACAGGCCCAACATCTTTTTAGCAACGAAAATGTAATTTGTACGAAATTTATTGTTGATTGAATCTGATGAAAAGCATTATTTATTCTCTCTTCTAACTGCTAAATGTCAAAGTTGCTATTGCAGCCCACTATGTAATTTTTTCAAAAAGCATATGTGAATATCGAAGTGTGTTCTCAGTTCGTTTTTTAAGTTTTACTCGAAAATCAGGCTTTTTTCAAAAAACATAAGAGAGTAGTAATCTGTAGAAAATTGAAAGGCAAATCCGAAAATATCATGGTTGGTACCGTAAAGCGTACTATTTTATTTAGAAAAATGTGCCACCGATACCCTGTATCTTCCGCCACTGGTGCATGTAAATGTCAGGAAAAGCCCTCAGATTTTAGACAATGTTTACATAAATACATGTGCCCAATTTCAAATTATTTTACTTACCAATTTTACATACATTTTTTAAAAAATTAAAAATATTTTTTTGAAAAAACAATAGATCAGTTAATATTTGAAATGAACCACACTGCATATTCATTTTTTCAAAATTCTAATGCCCCGAAGTGGAGCACTTATTTGTCAATAAAGGATCCATTTCTGTAATTTCAGTGTTTAAAATGAGATCACCTGGTGTACTGGTATAACTAAAAAATAAGTAAACAAATAAAAATGACAATGTGCCTGCCTCGTTGTTCCTTAGTGACAGATAATGCATCCAGGTATTTGTATTGTCAAATATAACTCGAACTCATATTTTTTTTCTGGCTACGTTTGATATTTAAAGTTCAAGCATCTCATTACTTTTTGGCAGACGTGTTCCAACATATGTATATACAGGGTAGCCCATCGAAAACGTACCGCAAGGCATTACAGGGTAGTAATGAACTTTTCGACAAAATCCAAAAACAGGTAAAGTTTGCTTCTGAGGGGGACAACTTTTGGCGCAAAAAGCATAGCAAAATCTTCAACCTAAGTGGGGGTGCCATCCCCCAAATTTTTTTAAATGGCAATGGGGATCAAGTGGGGGGTCATTAGAAAGGGCTTTTAATTCTCTATACATCGATTCTTACTTTTTGAAAATCGATCCATTATTTTAGAAAATATGCAGCTTTGAAAATACGAACAATATTTTTGACGAGAAATGCGAAAATCGATTTAATTTTACTTCAAAACTTACGGTATTAGCTTGGTAAATTCCTTCAAAAGAATTCTTTTTTTTTTTCTGATTTGCGAATTCTTTAGCCTGATTTTGGTGAGCAAAAAATTGTCCGCTTTTTGTTTCGTATTTAGATAGGCCACAAGAAGTTGCTAGATAACTGTCTTGTGACTTGTAGTTGAAGAGTACCAATACTGCCGAGTCTTTTAAATTGATTAATTATGGTGTACTCAATTCCAGAAAGAGTAGAAATTATTGAGCTTTTTTTCAAAAACAATGAATGCGGAAATCGGGTCGCCGAACTGTTCAACCAACGGCATCCTGAGAAACATGCGTCTGGAAAAATTGTTCGCGAATTGGTGGCCAAATTTCGCGAAACTGGCTCCGTTCATAACAAAAAGAGGCAGGTTGAAAATCCGGTACTAAATGAACCTACGGAAATAGCGGTATTGGGGCAAGTGGCAATGGATAGTACGCTGAGTACAATGCAATTGGCTACTGCGACAGGAGTGAGTCGTACAAGTGTCCAACGAATATTAAAAAAATACAAATTCCATCCTTATAAGATTCGGCTAGTGCAAGAGCTAAATGAAGACGATTTTGATCGTCGTTTGCAATTTTGCGAAATAATGACTGAACGAGCGATAAACGATAATTTCCTCTTTAATGTGTGTTTTTCGGACGAGTGTACGTTCTTCTTGAATGGTTTAGTGAATCGCCATAATTGTCGTTACTGGGCTGATACCAATCCAAGGATTTTCCATGAGACACACTCCCAACACCCCCAGAAGTTGAATGTATGGGCAGGTATTTTTGGAAATTCCATTGTAGGTCCTTTTTTCCTTCCTGGAAATTTGACAGGCGATATGTACTTGGATTTACTACAAAATGTCATCGACCCAGCTCTAACAAATATCATAGAGGACGACCCTGCTTACAATGAACACGAACTGATTTTCCAGCAAGACGGAGCTCCTCCACATTACTCGCTCAATGTGCGCAATTACCTAAATGAGACGTTTCCAGGACGCTGGATAGGACGAAGAGGTGCAATTGAGTGGCCCCCTCGGTCACCCGACTTAAATCCTTTAGATTTCTTTCTCTGGGGGCACATTAAAAGCAAAGTTTACAGCACTCCACCTGATACCTTGGAAGATCTGCGAGGACGAATCATTAATGTATGTCGCGAAGTAACACCGCAAGTGCTCCAGAATGTTCGACAACGGTTTGAAGACAACCTGTATCATTGTATGCAAGTTGGCGGACAACATTTTCAGCATTTACTTGACTAATACCGTAAGTTTTGAAGTAAAATTAAATCGATTTTCGCATTTCTCGTCAAAAATATTGTTCGTATTTTCAAAGCTGCATATTTTCTAAAATAATGAATCGATTTTCAAAAAGTAAGAATCGATGTATAGAGAATTAAAAGCCCTTTCTAATGACCCCCCACTTGACCCCCATTCCCATTTGAAAAAATTTAGGGGATAGCACCCCCACTTAGGGGGTTGAAGATTTTGGTATGCTTTTTGAGCCAAAAGTTGTCCCCCTCGGAAACAAATTTGACCTGTTTTTGGATTTTGCCGAAAAGTTCTTTACTACCCTGTAATGCCTTGCGGTACGTTTTCGATGGGCTACCCTGTATGTTATCTATATGTTCTCTACTAAGTGTTTTTCTGAGATATTAATTGAACAGAAATATGGAATTTATTCTTTGTCATTGCAGAGTAGGTATATTGTATAATTCATAAGACATTTTAAAGACACTATTTCTACAAATAACAAAAATTATATCTACTAATTAATTATTTATTGAAAATATTTGCATATCGAACCTAGTTTACTGGACCTAAGCTGTAGTGCTGTATCTCTTAGACTTTCACAACTTTATTTTGCACCTCTTATTCTCCACCTGAATTTGCCGGCCCTTGTGCTAAATGTTGTTCTCGTTGTTGTTTGTGCATGTGTAGTACTCGGCGGCATAGGGACAGAACCACCCCCCCCACTATCCCCCAGGTGTCCGGCCGTAGAAGTATTAGGTCGCCGAAATTAGCATTGCCGTCCACGACGAGTCCATCGAGGTAGGCATCACGATGAGTATTTTTTTTTTCATTTCCAATTTTTGAATAGAACTGAGTGCTGTCCGTAGCCCATAAGTCGACGTTTCGTTTCTTATCGCCTTCCTCAGAGCAGACGCTACGACGCATCAGATACTAGGCGTTGATGAGCGGATGTTGTTGACAAAGTCTGTAATACTGATGCTGAAGAAGACAATATTAACGAAACTTTTGTTTTTCGTATGTAAATTTTACACAGGGTGCCTCGATATATAGGTGATAAGGCCATTAACATGAGTGAAAACTAAATAAAGTTCAAGTATTTGATAAGAGTTCTGTTGTAATGACTAGCTTTCTCAAAATTATAAACGCTAAACTTTTTCCTGATTTTTTTAGTTGCCAATTTTTGGAACATATTAGCTATTTTTGTTTCAAAATTTAATAACGTGATGTTACTCAACACCTCTGAAAGTCCTCTCATATCAATTTCCTTTTTTAATTATCGAATATTATTAATTTTGCAAGAAAAAATTTAAATAATTGTTTGTGCATGATCGTATATTCATTTTTTTTGACATGCGGTAATCCAGAAAAAAAATGCATTTTTAAGACATAAATATGAGAATTACGATGCGATCCGTAAGCTAGTGTGCCGTGAAGAAAAATTACGCAAAAAATTTTGAAAAACTAGAGTTTTTTTCAAAATTTTCAATTTTTCAAACCTACAAACATTGATACTTTTCGCAATATTCGCAAAGTAGTCGTCGATTTTCCAAAACAGCAGCAAGTCATTTTTTTGCACTTTTTAAAATGAATACCAAGTACAAAAAAAATAAAATTCAAACGTACCAATATGCTCTTGAAGAAGATTCTTTTCTTCAAAGTACACAAACATGGTACTCGTACTAACTGGTCTTTGAGGCATGATAATATATCAAAAATTTTTACAAACCTTAGGAGAAAGAAAGCAAGAAATCACAAAGTTGACATACACGGAACCATAACCAAACTTTTCTTGAATGATATATTGTTGGGAGGCTAAATTGCTTACATGAAATTATCTTTAACGCGCATGCTCAGCAAAAATCATATAATTTTAACTTATTAATTACTGTAAAAGTCAATATTGTTCTATAAATTTAAATATATAAATTCTATAATTCTTTTAGTTTGTCACTTGAGGTTTGAAACTTTAAATATTTCTAATATTGCCAGAATATCGCGATATTTAAGGTCATGAAATTGTTTTGGTACTTATGTCCTAAGTACATAAAGTCGAAAATCGATCTAGGAAAAAAGTGAGAAATTCTTCATGACCATGTGCACTAGGGGGTTGCCTATTATTTGGCGTGTGTGACGTCACTACTAAAAAGGTCTTACAGTCTTTTCGAAGTCAGTTGAACATATATAAAAACGCCTAGCAATAAAATTTAATGAGTCAGGCGTCCATAAAAAAGTTTTCTGCTAAAGGTAAAAAATTATAATAATTTGTATATAATATGTAGAAAATTTCTATTATATTACATTTGGCCAAGAACATATTTTAATTATTTATGTCCTCAAACAATTTTATTACATTGATGGAAAATTTCGTTTTGTTCCTTTTCAAAAGGCTTTCAAAATGCCATGTTGTAATAATATTAGTAAACAAAATATCCCTTCTATTTTTCCCTTTCGCAATTGTAATATGAATGATTAATAGGTGCCTAAAATAAATTAAAATTACCCGAATCGCACCAAATTCCGCATTGCTGCACACTGCACTGCTAGGCGATTTGTCAAACAATTGTCAATAGCTGAGATTTATTACCCAGTCGCCCAGTTCGGATGTATGTGTACGCCGTTTGCCTGCGCGCACATTCTTCAGCTGGGCGTATACATTTCTATGACCTCCACGTTTAGTTCGACCAGACCTGTATATGGGTATGGATAAATAAATCTGGGAACAAGTTTTTCAAATACATCAATGCTGAGTTGCTGCGTCAGCGACCGAACCTGGTACATACTGCCAACCTCTTGGTTCTTCAGTTGAGATCGGAAAGACTATACTAAAAGTACGATTTCTTGTTTATAAAATGCCGGCCGTAATAAAAGACAATTGAATTTCATGTATTTCTTACTTGGGTATTATGTTAATGATGTAATACCTAACGATCAAAGTAATAACTTAACACAAGACACCAATGACACCATTGATCTTTTGGAATTTTGACGCTAAGTTTTTGGAATAGAATTTTGGCTTGCACGTATTTTTTTTTATTAAACACTGCCATATCGTATTTTGATATAATTCCCTTACAGATTATTAATAAAAAAACATACTTCTACATTTTGTTAAATTAAATTATTATTATCTCATTTATACATTTACGAATTAATAAATGGACATTCCTAGATTTAGTAATTAAGGTTATGTAATATTTTTTCCGTCAGTTAGAAATTAGAATTCTGTATGTTCTCTGTGTTAATGGTTTGTACATCAATAAATCGGGACACCCCGTATAAATTCACATGCGCTTTTCAAAATATTAACACTATTTTTGGTCACAATTGTCAATCTGACAGAAAACTATATCTGCTTTTATTTTTTAGAACCTGATTAATTTCGACGATTTGAAAAGGCATAGTTTGTTTCATTTGTCGAAGAAAAATTTCGTGTTCAGTTTTTTTTTAAATTTTCAACTTATACGGGGTGTTTTTGGGGCCCAAACATTACAAATCTTCTGATTGTTGCACTGGTTTATTTGTTTTGAAGGTAACCAAAAATATGATTTAAATTAAAAGTCCACAGGATATTAATAACGTTTGTTAAAATTAACATATTTTAAAACACCCTGTATAAGAATTTGGAAGAATATTTTTTATATTCAATCTAGAGGTTTGTTAAATTGAACACTAAAATGTAGAGTTTAGCTTGATTATATAGATGGTACCTAGGTGTTAAGTTTAAAAACATTTGTTAGTCAAAAATAATTCTAAAGAATTTGAAAAATGCAACTATTTGAAACTGTTCGCAAATTTTCCCGAGGCACGTCATCTTTCGGAAATAGGTGACCTTCCTAACCTCCCATCAATTTAGACACTTCTCGAACCAACCAAATTAAAATAAATAACAATGTATTCCATTTTTTACGCGTCGTAGCCATTTTAAAGTAGGTCGTTGAACCGTTTCGTTTTACATATATCGATTCCGCCGCTCTAACAGATTCATATCGCCATTATATACCACATTAGTAGACTAACTTAAAAATTTTCCCTCCGACCAGCACCATTGTAATTCAAATTCCATTCACCTTTACGTTTGCGTCATACAACAAAAAAATAATATGTGTAAACGTTTGTCATCTTCTAAGAGTAGTCCATGGTCGCCAAGCAGTCCAATATACAGGGTGTTAAGTTAAACACGTGTTGCCACCTTACAATTTTTTTAATTACGATTTTCCCGTTTATTATAGGCTGCGTTTTTCTTAAAAGTTATAGTGTTGTTAATCTTCAGGGAAGAAATAATGTTTATAATTACAGGGTGATTGACATAACCCGCTAGCAGAGATTTTTCGATTCTGTTAAAGCCAGTTGAAAGAGCTCCTAGGTGGTTCGAATAAAGACCTTAAGTTGATTTTATTCCAGCGAATTGTAGATGTGTCTGAAGTCCTACACATCTTTGGATTTTTTATTTTCCCTCTCCACACTCTTTTCACATCAATTTTAAATATTCTTGAAAACCATAATAATCCTTAAAGATCAAGAATTAATTAAGTTACTGTTTCAAGCTACAGGGTGATTCTGTCATAATGTCATTAATTTTAAAGGAAGATAGGGAAAAATGAGTAGAATACGAATACAATATTAAAAAAAATTAAAATGCTTATTTAGGATGAAAAAAAATTTTTGAAATCATTTTTTGAACGCCTTTTCGGACCGCGCGTGATCGCTGACCCACAAAGGTTTATCGAGAGTGAATCTTGACATGCCGTAGTATTCGGTCATTAACATAGCTTTTAATGCGTTTTTAATCCGTAATGAACGACAACGAATAAACAGCATTTTACCTAGACGCATGAATGAATAAGATATTTTTTACATTTTTAATATTAACTAGTATTATTTAGTTATTAATAAAAACAATTGTGTAAGGATAATAATTGTTTTCCAATGTTAAGTTACTACAATTTAGTATTTTCGCTTTTTGAAACACTTCAAAATTCAAGAATACTGAGAATATCAGTTGTTTCGCTTCAACGTTCAAACGTTCTATTAGTCCGTCAGCGCGTTCCCTGTTACGAAGTAGTACGGCGAATTAACGGGAGTTAAAATTTTTTTTTTCGATTTTTTGACTAATAGGCTTTCTGAATACGTGGTTTAAATTAACCCATTAGGACATTATGACTGAATGACCCTGTATAACACTGACCAAAATGTTTATGCAGTTTATTAAATTAGCGATCATAAATATTCAGTGGAAATATCGTTTCAGTTGTGTAATAATAATGATTTTAAGTCTGATCTAAACATTTTAGTTTTATTGTTTGGAAAATTAACTTGCTTTATTTTTAGCCTTTATAATTATGAATTTCGAATGAATTTATGAAATTTATTTATAAAGCAATTAGGTAGGGTAGTATGAAATAACCACTATGCAAAAAATCTTTTGATTTCAACGACATTTTGGAAAATTCTGTTTGATATATTATTCGGCGTCATCGAGCTCTATCTACTGGCTTTTTCAGAATAAAAAAATGTTTCCTTAATCATGTTACCGAACCTTGGAGTTTTATGTGAATCACTTTGTATACAGGGTGATTTCACTTTAAATACAGAAACTGCAGCAATATATTAATTGCCAGAAAAAAATAATTAAAGTATGTTTTATAAACTTTTTTCTGGGGGACGTGATACAGGGTGTTAAAGTTTACAAAAAAAGTTAATATTGCATCAATAAAAGGTCTAATTAAGTGAATACGCTGTAGTAAATTTCATTCAATTCCATCAGCGCATTTTGAAGATATTTTATTTTCTTTTTGTAA